ATGATGTTTTGTTATTCGAGTTATTTACAAGTTCTCGTGAGTATAAATCTTCAAGGTAATATTTAAGAAACTTGTACTAGTTTGCAGACGAGTAGTACTGGAGGTAATGAAAACAAATGTGTAGAATATTACTTTAAGGATGTGGCACAAACTGTTATACATTAATCTACAAACGTAAGGAAATTTGCATGCTTAAAAATCCTTACCTTACTAATTACTAATTCGACTAATAAGTATTAATAATCAGACGTTGGTATAAGAAGATGTTTATAAAAATTTACATTTTTATTTTATATAAAATTTTATATTCCCTAATAATAGTTTCAGTAGATTAAAGACAACGTAATATTGTATAAATTCTGTTAACTATCGCATTTGATTTTCTTCTTAAAAATTGATAAGCTATAAAAATGTATGGTTCACTGTATAATAATTATTGAAGAAAGGCGTTATTGAAGCCCGTCCTCCAGCCGCGATCAGCCGGAAAATTTACCTACTGGAACATGAACCATGAAGATTTTTTTATTCAATTCCCGTAAGAAAAGCCCTTGACGATCGTCGACGATGCCGAGGTCCCGTGGATGAACATTAAGTATGTAACCATACGAAACGCACGCGTCGATAAAGACGCCGGGGACGTTAAGGCAGGTCCAGACACATGCAACAGTGTATAGTAATATAGTACTTAGTGATATAGTACTTAGTGATATTGTACTTAGTAACATAGTACTTAGTAATATAGTACTTAGTAATATAGTACTTATACCTGGGGCCTTCCTTGAGCGTAGACCTATTAAAATCGACCCTTTCAAGAGTGTTCTGCAATGCGCGTGCAATCTGTATGCCCCGTCTGACTACGGTCGCGAAAAACGTCGCGTTAAGCCGCGTACTCGCCAAGCGAGTAAGCACGAGCGAGTATTCGTTCGTGCTCACAGAAACTCGCAAGGACTCGCTCGTGTTCAACTGAAATGCTCGCCCTACATTCACACTGGAACGAATTCATTTCTGTTCGCGATTGATCCGAAGACTGCGCACAAGCAGATTGTGAAATAATGAATAGTAAGAAATTACTTTGTGCAAGTGCTGCTTTTATTGTGCTGAAGTTAAGTGTAAAAAATAAAAACAAAGAAAAGAAGATAAACGATTGTGGTAAACTGTACTGTTTAAAAACAGAGAACGGTATTGTGGAAACCATTTGTTAAAGGACTTGCAGGAAGAAGGACATGAAATGTTTCGAAATTTCTGCAGAATGTCAACCGAGATTTTGAAAAATTGCTACAACTTGTTGAATCAAAAATAATGAAAAGTGACACAAACTATAGGAAAGATATTCTACGATTGTTGGCTACAGTAAGCTTCTATGAGTTTAATAATGTTTTCATTACACCATTCCATTTTTATTTCACACGGAATAGAACATTCCCAGGCAGAGCAGTCGAATGCAACGAATGATCGTCTACATCAGACGAGCGCGAACACCTCTTTCTTTTGATGTACCGAGCACTGAGTGAAAATGCTCGTTCGCTTGGTGAGTACGCGGCTTTACAGAAGACTTTTGAGAGGGTCGATTTTAATAGGTCTTCGCGCAAGAAAGGCCCGAGCTATACGGGATTTTGGCTGCGCGTGCTCGAGCTCGCTGTTGCACGTGTCTGGACCTGCCTTTACGGTGTAACCGAGCAAGGACGCTCGGTCCTACGGATTAGGAATGTTAAACTGGTCGCAAAATGGCCGACGAAACAGCGGTTATTAATGCTAAGCAGCCAAGTGATCACTTTTAGCGGGAGGAGGATAAATAACATAAAAGAAGTTACACGACCTCGAGAATAGTCGAGTTTAACTATGTATATATGTATGTATACCGGTACAGTACATTTCCACAAGGTTCGACAACATTGTTCGGTCGTGGTCGTTCCTTCAACTTTCGCGCGCAGAGGGTCAACACCAGGGATGGGCATTGGCGTAACTAGGATTTTTGTCTGAGGGGGGCCAGATCCTCTGACTTTCGCCCTTAACAGTCCCCATGAGGCACATGTATGTATTTTATACCATGTACGTTTGTTAAAATAATGTTACACATTTTACAATAATTATTTACATATTTATTTAACACTAAAATTAAAAATAGAAAGATATAAACATAATTATTAAAAATAAAAAAAATGCGAAAAGAAATTAGCGATTGATTAAAAGCAAGAGTATATGATGTACAGATACCTATAGTTAAAATCTATATAACGTTCAATTTGTTGTTAATTTCTGCAAACGTATTTTTCACATTCTCGAGCGCTAGTTTCCTTATTGTATTCAACCCTTCAATGGATGTTACAGGATTATTAATTAGAGTAGAATGTTAAAATTAAACAGCTTAATTCTAATACAATTGTATTTAATACTTTAACGTAATGAGGAGAGTATTCGGCACAAGTATATATCTTTTATAACATAAGATTTTACTAACTCACGAATGTTTTTTTACATATTTCAATAATTTCTGGACGGTGGGGCCAGTCCGCATTCTGGCCCCTACCTAGTTGCGCCAATGGGAATGGGCAAGTTCTTCGATAATAAGAACCACATATATTATTTTTCATAGATTTTTTAATGTTCAAGAGAGAAATAAAATATTCTAATATTCCCAGTCAGCCAAACCTGCAAAGCGAAATTTTGTTCAATGTCTGTTATGAAGTTATGGCTACAAATTTGATGCAAGATTTGCTATAAACAACTTGCGCGCACATTGGCAGCAACATATACAGCAAATTGGCTCGCGGAGACTCTGTTCTGTTTCTGCCCCCAAAATTCACACAGGTTATGTTGCAAGACTTTCTGGCAATTTGCTTGACCATTTTCTCAGCTGGCGTTGCCTGCAAAACCTAAGTCAAATGTGAAAACAGATGGCTATGGGTTTTTAGACAACTCTTGTCATTTATTGCTGGCAATTTACTCGAAACTGGTTATCAGAGTTGGTACGTATTATGCTACTATAGATTATTAATACAAAAGTTTAGGAAAAATGGCAATGAAACGCAATATTATCTCGAGAGTCGCACAGAATAACTTTGAAGAAGAACGGCTACCTGAAAACGTAGATGGGCGAAAAATGTTTGTTTCAATGGAAGATGAAAAACGAATAGAATATTTTTTTCATACAGTTATTTATTATGATTTATTAGCGATTTTTGGTTAATTATCAGTTCCTTTGGCTTTTAAAGACGTAGAAAATTATAGGCTTTACAATTGATGATTTCTCAGGGCTTTTATCTATCAATAACTTTGTACTGACAAAATCTGACTGACAAATCAGGGATGACATTATTTCTTCTTTGTTACTTTTTATGCAACTTTTTTTCATTTTTCAATTAATTTTAATGTTTATTCATGTATACATATGTTATTCAATGTATATAACTTGAATTTTATTGGCTAAAAAAACTCTTCAACCTGTTTGTGCATGGATATTGTTTTCGAAGTTTTTTCTTGATACAAAATATTCTCCTGGCTTAAGCTTAAAGGAATAATCACCTGATAGGGCAAAGTCTAGCCAATTTCGTAAATGTTATAAAAACTTCGAGACAAAGTAGTGTAATTTTTTAGAAATTTGACAGAACGTAATAAAAATAACCTTGTACTTGTTTACTGACAGAAGACAAAAAAAAAGACGAGTAGCTTGTACAGCAAATACATTCAATTCAAACTTGGAAGGTAATACTTGTTCACCAGATCAAACAACTTTTCCTTCGTCCAGCAAAAAAGAAACAGACACTGTTCGAAACGCTACGAACTTTCCGGACGACCCACTATAATATATGTGTATGTAATACAATATAACCGAATGTATGTAGTATAATATACAATGTATAATAAATTAAAAAGTCAACATATGTAAATCCCGACAAATTCACCTTTACGATTTCAGGAATTACAATATGGGAAGTTTGAAATCCGTCATTTTTGACCGACTTCGAAAGGAAGAGGTTACACAATTCGATGTCTATGTATGTTTTTTTATATGTATGCCCAGCGATTACTCTGCAATGAATGGACCATTCGAGATGAAACCTTTTGTATCTTGTAGAGGATATTTCCGAGGTGGTCCCGTTTGCAAAAAAATTTCCAATTTATTAATTATATTATCATCATTCACAAATCGTGTCTTTCCAAATCGTCCAAAGTAGTTACCTTTGATTTTTTCTTTACAGTTACTGTCCAACTAAGAATATTGAAAACTATCTTACGTTGGCTCATTAGCCCACCAGTATTGCTCCTTATACTAAATTGTACAAAGTACAAATATTTTTTTTTTAATGTGGACCGACATCGAATTAATATGCTAAAAAATAGAAAATAATTTCCATTTTTATTATTTATACGGAAAGGCAGCAACGGTTAAGAAAACTTATTTTCTCTTCCTAAATCGAATATTAAATACATTGCAATCTTTTTGGAGACAGCACAAAATTAAAGATAAAATTAAGATTGCAATGAATTTAATATTCGATTTAGGAAGAAAAAAGTAAGTTTTCTTAACCGTTGCTGCCTTTTCGTATAAATAATAAAAATGGAAATTATTTTCTACTTTTTAGCACATTAATTTGATGTCGGTCCATATTTTTTGAACAAAAATTCTTTTATTACGAGTTTGGTTGTTCTAATGTTAATACCCTACAGAAATTCCTGTCTGACGACCATTTTAGAAGCTTCATCTCCAAACACGTATGCATAAACATCCACAGTCAAGCCTCGAATGTATACAATCCACAATCCAGGAATAAGCTGTTTCCGAACTCTAATGCGTGAACGGTCCCACACGACGAGGTAACCTGCGAAAGGGTAAAATTCCCATTACAATGCACGACATTGATGGCGGCAACGTAGAAAACGAGGCTGTCGCCGATTAATGCTGAGTTTTGTTCGGAGCCAGGAAAACACTGTTCGAACAGAGTGGGGACCCTGAATAAAAGTTAGCGTATCTCGCGGTCCGTGATCACTCGGCGAGCGGCCGACAGTCTCTATCACCGCAGCCTAGGAATCGGCAAACAGTGGTTTCCCGTGAAAGTTGCTCCTCGATCGGCTGTGATCGTTTGAACCGTTCAACTGTTCGTAACCGTCATCGTTTCGTCAAACTTCAGCGGGTACGCGAATAGAGATGCTACGCCTGTGAGTATCCCGACACGTGAACACAATTTCCCTCTGATAAACCACTGAAAGCTCGTGGAACAACGGTCACGGCGACACTTATGACAGTGATTAACCAACGAGCAGGAAGTACCGACAGATTTTTTTTCTCTCTCTAACGGCATTCGTAAACGCACGACATATCCTTAGATGTTGTGTTTCGTAACAGAATGGTGTTACGCTGTCACTTTGTTGACAGCGTGCACGCATTTTCTGTGAAACTTTCGTATTTACGGGGTTCTTATGTTCATATCGTGGATGTTAATATAAATAGGTATTATTGGAAACGGTTTTAGTAAAGTCACAATGTAACGGAGGTTTATTGAATCGGTGGGGAAGTAACGTTGATTTTCGATAATGTGGTGTCTTTGCAGTGAGTCAAGAATGTTTCTGTGTATCTTGTATAGAATTGTGATATTAGTTAGTTTTTAATTCAGTATTTCTATTTGCATACGTTGTGCATTGTTGTATGTATCACATTAGAACTATGGACGATTGAATGTACCTGTTCATCCCCGAAGTATGAAAAGTATAAATTAGTTGATTAAGTAAAATGTTCATTTAAATATTTCACTGAAAATCCCTCGAAATCTCAAAGAAATATATTTTATAACTAAACTACGGATTTTATGCATTTATCGCGCCCTCGATTGTTTAAAACTCACTGTCGGTTTCAAAACAAATGTAACGAAGTTTTCATATTGCTTGAAATCTGATAGAATCTTTAATAAGATAAGTATGATTCTATTTGATCTCGTTTTCTATAAGTCACTACATAAAAATTTGTATTTGCATAAACTTCCACAGTCTATTTATAACTGAAAACAGTTTGTATGAAAAGTTGCAAGGCTGTCATTTTGACTTCTTTGGTAATTCTAGAATTAACACGTTAAATGCCGGAGAACACACCGCGTCGAAATGAAATCTTCGTTAGACAGAGTGTATAAGAATTAAATGTTACATAAAATTCTTGAAGTCAACTATGTTATCATACTTCTGACATTTCTTTTGCAAAAGTTTATCGGTTTATCGTCCAATATTAATGATATCGTAAAGTATACTGCTTAGAGTGTGGGTTACCGGTGATTCCCACGGCATTTAACGTGTTAAAGAAGATGTAGAAAATCACTAAAAGACGTCAAGCTAGTAATAAGCCACCGTTAAGCATACAATAATGCACGAGTAAAAGAATACATGGCCTATGGTAACTGTAAAATTAGTTTATAATATAGCAAAATAAATAATTTAAAGAAGAGCCAATAAATCATTGATACTAAAGAAATGAAAAATTTGGATGATTTTGTGTCTAATGAACGATAATTCCTTTGACGCTCTCTTTCGTAACGTAATGTTTATGTTCGGTTTATTCGCAAAAATTCTATACAAAAATAGCGTTGCCATTATTTGTTTGGAAATTATATAGAATAAGATAGTTGTACACTAGGTTTCCGGAAATCTTTTTCGATCCATTTCCATTTTACGTTCAACTTCAAATTTTTGTTTAAATTTACATAAATAACTTAAAAGTGTAAGATAGTCCATCTTAAGGTCTTTTGCAATTTCTCAGTACGTATTTTCGGAGATTTCTAATAATAATTATAAATTACATTATCAATGATCGACAACGCCAATGAATAAAATACTATCAATATAATGTCGATCGTAAAATTTTACAATCATCACGAATACGTGATAGATAATTTTTGTACAAGTGGTTACATTTATACTTTTTTCAAAGTCAGTCTGAGATAAATTAGATTACAAAGTGTTTTATAAACATACACTTTTTCACCTGCAAAAGTGATTTATTCCAGAGAGTTAGGAATTGATTATTCGAAACTCTTTGGTATTGTCCAAAAACTACACACTTCTCCGCCAATCCAAGATTTTATTTTTTAAAAAGTTCGTCAAGTTAAAAATAATAAAACATTTATTTTACTTATTTCAAAGTGCTTTATGTGATTGTAAATGTCATATATGCGTAAAACACGCAGTCTATAATATGTATAACTTATTATTAGACTGATGATGTTTATGCATATAATGATTTTTATGCATTATTTTATGGAAGCTAAAGTCGAAGGAATTTCTTTACTTTATTAAGGGGTTTTATTATGGTCAAAAAAGAGTAAAAACTTGATTAAATTTTATTAGACTTATTACTATACAGTGCATGTCGACTGGCAATATAAGTATAAATCACTATAATAAATTATTAGCGTGCCAGAGATGACACTGACTAAATTGATATCGCAATTAGCAGAGATTAATATGCTTTCTGTGGTGTCAAATTATTGAGAAATCGAAGATTAAAAATGCTATTCAAGTTACATAAAAAATTATCCGTAAAAAACTAGGATGCTAATTCATTTGTTTAATTAATATTAACATGTTCACTACAATCACTTTAGAAATAAGAAATTGTATCACTTTCTTGAAATGGTAAAAATCAATTTCTAACAAATTGAGCTAATAAAATCAATTACTGAACAAAAATTATTTATTAATTACATTACATAAAAAGAAACTTTTGTTTGTGAAAAATAAACATGGGAGTGAAAGAATCATTTATCTTTGTTATTTGAAAGAATCATTATTTTGTTGAATTTCAATCATTTTAAATGGTATGGTAAAAATTGTATGTAAATAATTTACCATAAAACAGTACAAAATATTTACAAATCGTAATAACAACACAATAAAAAATCAGCGTTTGAACGCTTAAAATATAAAATTTCAAGTCAAATATGACTAACATTTAATCTAAAATAATACATCAACATGTAAAGTGGTTGTATTTAATAAATAAATTTTATCGTTAAGTAAATTTCCATAATTAAAATATGTAAACCAGAATAGATAATTCGATGCGCGTTAAATGTGAATTTTAGTGATTGGTATATTCGATTCCACTTTTATGAATAAAAATTACTAACAGTTATCACTATTTGCTTGTTAAATTAGAATCCACTCCTTACTTTTTCTGAGACGTTATCTTCAACAGTGAAAGCACTTAAAGACTGTCTAGTATAAATTAAAATCTATAATGGATCGAGATAAACTTCAGCTAGAATTCTTACGCACAATTACACCTGACAAATTAAAGTTAAACTCAAGGGTAAATGTCTGAAAGAAATAGTGAAAAGGCTGTAATTAATACTGTCATATATGTAGTAATCTTGATTTAAAATTTTACTTGATGAATTCATATTTTTATAATACCTATATATAGGATCATACTTTGACTTAAAAAATGTATTTAAAGTTAAAACAGAAACATGTAGTGTTATGAAAAAATTAGCATATTGCAAGCACTGGTTTGATATCAATACATATAACAATTATGTACACTGCGAATTTTATGCATTTATAGGATATTCGATTCTCTCAAAGACAGTAAGTATCTTTAATGAAATATAATGAAGTTTTCTATTATCTGCAATCAAATAAAACCTTTCAACCAATAAACAAATTTCTATTTAATTCTAGTTTACGTAAATTTTACATATTATTGCTTCTATATTTTTAAACTCTTGACTGCCATGGTGGTCATCGGTTATCGGTGCCGTTAAATTATATTGGAAAGCATTTAATTTCTAAACAGTAACATTCACAATTTTCTGAATATAATGGCAGAATAATTATTGAAATAATGCATGCAGAAATCAACATATTAAAATTTATATTCTTAACAGTAAATTTAATAGTAAAAATTTCGGGAATTATATAATAAATCACTAACAGGATGTAGCTTTGAGATTAGAAACATGTATAAACGCATACATGATCTACATCAAATCTAAACATATACTGTACATTAGCAATATATAACGGAAACGAAATCGTCGAGTTTGTTTTTAAATCAAGATAATGACCCTTGAATGGATAAACGTCAACAATCGATAATTTGATTTCTAAAGTCGGTCGACTGATAGCCATCATTCAATTTTCCTGAAACAGAAATTTAATGTGATTATGAAGATTTTACCTGCAGTTAATTTAAACAGAAAATATTGCAAAACCTGGTATTAATTGACTTTCTAAATCCCATAGGTCCTCTGAATATTATCTACTTTAATGGAACCTAATTGAGCAATTTAAATAATTTTTTTAATAAACCCAAATGTTGATGATTTTTCTTATTAATCTACAATACTGTTTTATTCACAGTATATTATGGAAACATTTATTTATTGCAAAACTTACAACATTAATTAAATGAATTAATTTTACTACCATGTCTAGCTATTATACCATTTACCAAAGGTATAACACACAGTAATTAACGGAAATATTTAACGACATTTAATTTAAAAATAATACTAAAGTAAGTAAGTCATAAAGCAATATACAGTAATTGATTCGATATAATCTCGAGTATCGAGATACTTTAATTACAGATAATCAAAGCAATTATTATCGATAAACGGCCAGATTTGCAACGATCAAGTGCCATAACAATTTATTTTCGATCGTCAGATTGCGCAATAAAATTAATACATTCTCATAATGAAATTTTTGTAATATTACTATATTTAAACTGATAATAGAAATATCAAAGTAGATTAAGTTGCGAGTCTTAAATGTTGTCACAAGTTGTTTTATATTTGTACATAGATGCAACTTTATTTCCTTTAGCGCTTCGAATTGATTTACTGCAACCGTAAAATTATAAAAACGTATATTTAATCACTTTCGCAGTATATATTAAAATCACTGAATTATTGGAAAATTGAGAATTGTTAACACATACAAAGTTAAAAGTGACAAAACACTTATGAAGTTTTAAATTTGTGAAATTTATAACTGAACCGCCGATTTTATGCACATGTAACATAATACAAACGTAAGTTATACAATAAAAGAACAATTTTAACGAAGTTGGTTCAACTTTTTATTTTATTTTCAATTTAATAAAATTCTTTCTGGAAAACATTTTTGTTTTTGAGTTTTAGTCTTTGTAATTACTTATTAAAAATCTAAAACTACCTCACTTTTTTTGCAATTAATTTACTTTTTTTAATCAGTGTTTTCCACAAATCAATGAAATTAGTAAACCAAAAATTCTCAATACCTTTTCTAATGTTTATTTATCATAGAAAATAAATGAATTTAAAAAAAAAAATAAAAGAATTTATCACTGAACTGTAGATGTTTATCCTAATTCAAATTTTTACGGACTAGTTTGTGTAAACAGGTAGTAAATAGCAATTTATTATTTCAAAATAGTAAGTCTGTTTATCATAAAATATGAAATTTCTTATATAGACAATCTAAATCGCGAAATAGTATTAATATTCATTGCACAATACATGAATTACATTAAAAACACGATTTAAAAGTTAATAGAATAATTCCAAAACTTGTGTTCCAACTGTCCTAATTGCATGCAGGGCGTATAACTTCGACTTTCACTGTATTCCGATTTACCAAACGTTTTCTAATTACTGTAATGGCCGATAAATATACCGTTTAATCTTTAATGCAACAGAAATATTAATTAATATTTAAATGTTTGCTGGTTTTATATCATTACTTCCATTACGTTCCAGTACTGCGCAGGCACTCATTAAAACCACTTATCTTATAATTTAACTCTTTCATTGCCGTGGGTAGGCTGCACACGATAAACGTCGTTTATCGATCGAATACGCAATTATACAAGCTTACACGTATAAATATATCACAGCATAAACATACATCCACAGATTTTCTTCTTTCGGTTTCAGCCACTACTTAATTCGAACTAATGTACTCGTTTTTACTAAAATCCTTCGAGTAGTGAAACGCACAGTTTTCCCATGACCCGTCGTGGAAGCATGGAAGGACGTTTTCTATAACCCATTTTTCCAGATCGGTGCACTACTAGAATGTACCGAGACAGGGAAATATCTCGAAAAATTCTATTTTCGTTGACGCTGTGGCGCATCAAACGAACGCGCTGTGAAAGACTTTCGAAACGGTCTGAAACCAAAGCGGTTGCACTCGACCTCGTGACTATTTGACTGTCTGATTTTATTCGCGGTCGTATATTAGTCACGAAGGACGGACAGTAACATTCATGGACGATCAATTTAAAATTATGTGTACACCGTGACTGCTGCCGCTTTCATATGCAATGAATCACAGATGCAGGATTGTGCATCATTTAATTAGTATTCCTTAGTACAATGTTCATAATTAAGATAGGTCTCATAACTAGAGAGACTAAAAGAGTAATATGTATTGCCCTGTTTCCTAGATTTTACAATCTCATAGAAATGCAGGAACGTCAAACCTGAGAACCTCAGATTCAAATTTTCTTCCATAATGTGCTGACAACCTTTTTGAAATATTGACTTGAATCAGAAATAACATTCACCTTAAATATCACCTAAAATTCGATGAATAGCAAATGAAGAGCAGTAACAAGAAACATTCTTAATTATAACAATAATTTATTAAATTTAATAATACCAAGTGTATGCAACACTATTAAATCGGTAATGAAATTTTATATTATCGACGGGGAACTCCTTCTGCGAGAAAAATGGCGAAATGTTATAAAAAAATTGAAGAAAACTATCGTAACTAACAAATGCTGAAACAAGTAATCAATATTCGTAAACATTATCGACGGAAAAGGGGTCATTGCTCTTGCACACACCTAATAATAAAGAAATATCATGGAAAAAGAGAAACATAACATGTTCAGATACAAGGGAATACAATTACACGAAAGACATATAAATTTCCTTGGTTCTATCATTTTTTGCACTTTAAATTCCAGAAATCATAATAACATCACAGTCTACACGATAAGTTCCCATATTCGATCTTTCAAAATAATTAATTAAAACTTTTTCAAATACAACTATTATTTCGATATTGTCTGAGAGAATTCGATTTTTCAAATTTCCAGACTGTTGGTGGCAGCCTGCGTGGTCCTGGCATGGGGAATTCCGACGCCCGAGGAAGCCAAAGCACCCGATGCTTCCAAAGAACCTGAAGACCTACTGAAAAGGGCTACGGAATTTTTGTCGCGAGTCGACAAACAGTACGCAGAATGGAGCAACAAACAATCGCTCGCGGAATGGGACTATGCGTCCGACCTGAATTCGGACAAATTGGCGAAGAAATTAAACGTGTCTTTGGAGGCGGCGCGCATTCAAAAATCGATTTGGACGGAAGTAAATGCGTTCCCCTGGAAGAACTTGAAGGACGCAGGCATGAGAAGACAGTTCTTGAAGCTCAGTGTCTTGGGCCCTGCAGCACTTCCTGAAGATGTAATTGATTAATAATCTATTAGAATATTCCTACCAGATACGGTAAACTTATAGGGGTATTCTCGTTTGATTGTTCTTTTTTTAACGCAATTCTTGAGTATTTTTTTACAAAGAAACTATTGGGATTACAAATCTGGCAGTTTCCACACATATCTAGACGTGTTTAATGCAATAGCTTAAATTTTTATAAGTATTTTTGTTGAATATTTACCAAATTACAGCTGGTTGTTCAAGTGTCTGTGAAAAGAAGTTGCTGTGCCAGAGGTACCATTTCTGGCTGATCCAGTCATCCGAAATAAAAAAGTCAAAGCTTATTTTAATCCTTATGAATGTCTTGATAATTCAAAATTTTTGAAACTTTATTAGATATGCATGAAGTTACGCTTTTAGTTAACTGACAATTAGTTAACGCGTCTGACTATTACTCGCTGATGATACTTTAGGTACATTTTCAAAGCATTTACTCTTATATTATTTTTTTTTTTTTAAATATACTGCCTTGTTTACAGTAAAACTCAGTAGTATATGTATAGACATATTCATATGTCTACGTATACTAATACATATAGTATGTATACGTACTCATGATATTTGCACTTTAAATAGTTATTGGAAAAAACAAGTTCCTAATCATCATAATCTAAATAAAATGTCATATAATAAAAAAGAAACAGGCTAAAATCAATCTCATCAGTTTATACAAAATTCAAACATTTTCAGTATTTTTTTATATAATAAAGTACCATAAGTTCTCAATGTTCAATGTCAAGATTACGGCTTAACACGTTGACACGGGATACATGCAAGTCGTCGTTGAAACGTTGTAAAAAGGCTAGATTATTTCAAGGCCGTTACAAAATTTTTGCTTAAAATTAATATCGCGGTATAATTTGAAGCAAGACAAACAGCCTCTATTAACTGAACGCATATATTTTCGACGATTTAGGAGTTACAAATAGAAATAAATTGTGTCTGGTTGCGTACGGCCTTTTTCACTGTGGCAGTCGAGTTAAAAAATGTTGCCCTAAGTAGAATTAGAAAGTAATGCTCAGACATGCAAGCGAAAATCTATTGATTCTCCTGTTTACACGACAAATTATCAAAGTTAATTTAATCGAACACTGATCCACGTATAAAGAAATTTTATTCCAGTCTTTGAATTTACAAGTTGACTAAGAAACCAGCGTTTATGGTATTATAAAATGGTTAAAACGGCTCTTTTTACGAAACAGGAACGATAAACCAATATTTACCACAGTACTTATTTTTAACTAGGATTAAAAAATTAATCCAGAATTAGTTAACAAAATTTAGTGATCAACATTAGAAATGGTAGCTACAATACTAACAAAACAATAAAATCATTTTCAAAATGGCAGAGTTTGGATCCAAAACCATATTCAATTTCAAGTTATATTCAGTTACCTTATTAATCATTAGACTACGGATGTTTATACATATTCACATATTTGCTTCTTAGTTTGCAAGAAAATAGCATTAAACAGAATTTTCTTCATAAGAAATACAGTTGTAATTATAGCAAAAACTATATTAAATTGTACAAAAGATTCAATTCTATTATACTTTTTACGTTCACATGTGTATGTCATAAGTGCATAAACATTTGTGATCTATTAAACATTGATGAATCTATAAGTATTAAAAATGGTCAACTCAAGATGACAATGAATTCGTTACAGTTGCACCGGGAATACGAGAAAATTATAAGCGACATGGAAAACATTTACAGTACCGCAAAAATCTGCGATTACAAGAACAAGAACAAATGCGATCTTGCTCTGGAGCCCGAACTTACGGAACGTTTAATGGAAAGTCGCGACCCAGAGGAACTGAAGTACATTTGGGTTCAGTGGAGGAAAGCAACAGGTGAAAAAGTGAAAAAGCTGTACGCTAGGTATGTAGAGCTGAGTAACATGGCTGCTAGACTGAACAACTACTCCGATAATGCGGCCTACTGGATGAAGGATTACGAGGTCGACGCGTTCCCTGAGGAAATTGGTAAATAATACGTTAAAGTACATCAAATAGGGAACAGAATTCTAATACAAATATTGGGTCACTGTAAGAATTATTAACATCCTGTTTCATATATTTGTTTTTTATAATTATTTATTCTGAGTAAACATTAAAAGTCCTGGGTATATTCTACAGAATGAACTGTGCACATATGAAATACAATTGACCGTTTAAAGCCACATTACCCTATTAAAAAACAGAAAATAGAATCATAAAGATATGTGAACAATAGTACAGCTTATTTCATTTTAATTCGAACAAACTGTTTGATATCTGTTTTATTTAGATGATGAAGTAATTTTTTAAAAAATCAGAGAATTTGATGGTTTCAAAATGAATCGAGCTAATTCAATAATAAACTAGGTACCTGGAAATTACTATCTATTCAATTACCTGATTAAGTTCCACACCACTACACTCGAACTACCATACACGTCAAAAGGACGGATCTTAAACTTTTGGTTTCATTACTAAAATCATAAAGGTGTTTTTGCCAGAATTTATATCGATTTATAATTTATTATACATTTTACATTATATTAAATTATATAATGTACCTATTAATACATTAGATAATTTTATTTAGTATATATTCAACACTGGTAGTTCTAATGTCAAATAGAAGAAACGGAGTATGCGAAAAAAAATTAAAAAAAGAAAAAGATTTACATAAAAAGCCGAGGACCTTCGGAATTCTATAATTATATTAAACTTTGCTATGGAAAAATCTGAGGGAATTTATACATAAAAAAATTGTTGAAGACTGCTTTAATGTGAGATGAATGTTGGGTTCTTTTCAGAGAAGCTTTGGCAAGAATTGAAACCATTCTACTTGCAATTGCACGCGTATGTCCGACGAGAACTTCGAAAGAAATATGGCGAAGACATTATTTCCAAAGATGGTCCTATTCCGGCGCATTTATTGGGGAATATGTGGGCTCAAACCTGGAGTAATATCGCAGATTTTACGATTCCATATCCTGGAAAACAGTTACCCGACGTCAGCAATGCTATGGTAGAACAAGGTTTGTTGGATAAAGAAGAAATTATTCCTTTAAATAACAAATTAAAAAATATATGAATACTTAATAATATTATAAAAATTTAATAATATTTATAACATTCGATAAAAACTCATTGGTATCAATTGCACAGAATTCATTTCGTGAATCCACTTATTCACCAATGGTAATCAATCTTTGTCGGAGTTACTTACTTGTTACGAATTAAGTATTCAGGAAAAGTTACATTTAATTTAATATTTGGTTCATTCATTAACGCCTAATATTTTGTTTATTCTCTCATATTAAATATAGTTAGAGAATGTAGTGTTGGAATCTGTTTCCAAACCTTATGCCAATATTAAATTATCCAATATAAATCATAAAGTAATGTAAGAGTTATGATATTTGAAAAGGTATAGTATACACGCTTTGAAGTTTGACTAAAAAATATATTTAATAATCAATGTAATAGGTTAATTATTGTATAAGTGTTAAAATTTATAGAATGGTTTTCAATTTTACGTAATCATGTATGAATTCCTCAGGATACAACGCAACGAAAATTTTCCGAGTCGCAGAAGATTTCTTCACTTCCATAAATCTGACAGCGATGCCGGATTTCTTCTGGGAACGGTCAATCCTGGAAAAGCAAAAGGATCGTGAGATGATTTGTCATGCTAGCGCCTGGGACTTCTACGACGGCCAGGACTTCCGTATTAAACAATGCACAAGAATTAACATGGAAGACCTAATGACTGCCCATCATGAGATGGGACATGTCGAATATTATCTTCAATACAAAAATCAGCCCACGGTTTTCAAGGAGGGCGCAAATCCTGGGTTCCACGAAGCCGTTGGTGATGTTATAGCTCTGAGCGCCTCGACTCCAAGTCACCTGAAGAGTATCAAGTAAATAAAACATTTCATACAGTTCGGAAATTTAATTAACGTTACTAGTTTGACCGAAGTTGTTTATACGTAAGTATGGTGTTTGCATTTTAGTTTGTTGAAGGACGACGCAACTGACAAAGAAGCCATTATCAACCATTTATACACGAAAGGTCTTGACAAAATTGTCTTTTTGCCATTCGCATATATGATGGACAAATGGCGCTGGAATGTCTTCCAAGGACAAGTTACACCAGATAATTACAACTGTAACTGGTTTGTACAAATATATTTTGAACACTGTTAATTTTTTTATCTATGTCGTGTAAGTAAAAGTTAGTACAGTAGCACTTTAGAGAACCGACGATATTTTACAGCACGACTTCTTGTAATGTTAATTAACAACTCGAAATTTCTAGGTGGGATCTAATTGAAAGCTTTCAAGGTATCGAAGCACCCGTGGATCGATCAGAAGATGATTTTGATCCTGGTGCAAAATACCATATAATAGCTGATGTTGAGTATATCAGATACTATGTAAGCTTCATTGTGCAATTCCAGTTCCACAAAGCACTTTGTATAGAGGCAAAACAATACGATCCTCAGAATCCAAACTCAAAACCGTTACATCAATGTGACATTTATAACAACAAAGCAGCAGGAAACTTGCTGAAGTAGGTTTCTACTTCCTTAATTATACAAGCCAATTTTTATGTAATCAGCATTGGAATTTATGCTATTTACTATTGCGACACAGATCCATGTTGGAATTGGGTTCATCTAAGCCTTGGCAGGATGCGATGGAAAAGATCACGGGTCAAAGGAATATGGACACTGCTGGACTATTAGAATATTTTAAACCACTAACAGACTGGCTCACGGAGGAAAACAAGAAAACTAATGAATACATTGGATGGAAACCTAGAGCAAAACGTATGTATTCCTATAATAAAGTACAACTCACATACATGTATACATACAAATCCACATGATTATACAATAATTGAACATTACAAAAATATAACAATTTCAGTTCCACATTCATTGTATGGTACATGCTAATTTAATAATCTTTACTTGTTTTTTAGAATGCGTACAAACCAGATCAGAACTTGAAGTTGCTGAAGCGACTGAAACAATTAAAGTGATCGAGGAGTAGGAACATTTGTAATATCTCTTTAAGTACTATCATTCCAAGAAAACTAACGGTTTAAACAAAAATTACTTAAGTATTATTGAACCTGTTACTGAGTAAAACTCACATTCCAACTTCATAATATCTGTGTTATTTTGCCATTCCACGTCCTCTTCCACGTTTACTGGTAGAAGACTTATCGCTATTTTTACCCTTTGCTGCATTTTTATTTATACTTTTACCTTTTGGTTCAGTTTTCTTAGTCGAGGAAGTAGCCTTCTTCGCCTAGAAGTATATTTTAAGTGATGCAAACGCTTAATCAATATTAAATATTAGTAATGTTGAGTAGTACTTGTACAATTACCTTGATCATTTTCTTCTTTGATGTACCACTTACTATATATGGCACAGCTGCAGAAGTTTTATTATATGTTCTCGTAAAGGCTGCTTTTACCTGTAATAGAAATACTTATTTTGTTCTTTCCTGTTTTTTTACTTTAATATTGATGAAATAAAGCTGAAGTTTAAACTAACCTTACTATCAATAACTTGCATAGGATCACGATCACCAGGCCACAAAGAAACCTCTACCAAAGAATCTAAGTCTTCCCTATTAACAACATAAGTACACATATTTTATAATATTTAAAGTTATCATCTTTTTTATTTGTATTGAAAATATTGATAAGAAAAATTAACCTGAGAAAGTGATATTGATTCATGACATCTACTGCTGCATCTACTCCTTCGATACCATTAACTGCTAAAGGTCTGACAATTGCATCTCTCAGAGGTTTAATATAATCTAAATTTATAGCTTCCTTACTTGCACCAGTAGTTAAACGTGTATGCACAGTTATCTCTTGAATTAATCTACAACATAATTAATGTGCTATGTAAATAATGTAAGAAGCATAGTATACAAAAAGCATAATATTACCTGTCAAATTTTCCAGCTTTTGAATTACGCCCAAGCCAAGCTGGAAAATTTATTTGACCAGCAATATGACCAGACATTACTGTCCCAGGTATAACGGAAGAATAACAAGCTTGCATAGGCAAAAGAGACCAAGCACCACTACTTCTTATTGATTTCTCAACTATATCACCCAATGCTAAACTTTCAGCACTTTCAGCTACTTTTTCCAATAATTTATTTCTATAGAAAAACAGAATAGTGAATATATCAATATTAAAGTAAATATTAGATACTAAATTAATATGGAGTGTAAATTACACATATCAATTTCTTCACTGTAAATAGGCAAGATTTCTAAATGAATAAATTAAAAGAGAACTTCCTGCAAAAAAGCAGCGAATTATTTTTTACTGGTGTTGAAAGATACTTTTATAGAAAATTCATAAGAAAATACATTTTATAAAATTGTGCAATGTTTCTTTTAACAATATTTCCCATTTTTAATCAAACTAAGATGTACAAGCTGTAAATGTACAAATGTTATGGAACATTTTTAAAGGGTGGATCCTAGACATCAAAATAATGACAAAAGTTTATATTCACATATGTCCGATCTCATTTTATGTTTAATTTATATGCGACATTTTATTTTCTAAAATGCACCTATAGAAAAGTAATTTTCATGTAACAATCAACAATTTAAATGTATAATTTCGATTGTATAGACGGTGTCTCCTACTATGTATGAAATATTGTAATGGTGGGTTCAAAAAAGAAAAATAACAAGAAAAAAATCATATAAACATATGTCTGATATAAAATATCTGATAAAATATCTGATAAAAAATCATATAAACATATGATGATACTTGTATTGTGAATGAAGCAGTTAGTAAAGAGACTGTGTTCAGTGAACGCCTGTATTGAAGCTGAAGGTTGCCATTTCGAGAATTTCCTTTGCAGGTAATCACACAGTTATTGCAACACGAAACTAAATAGTTATAACTCGAAAACAAAGTCATGTCGAACATGTGTCTATATGAATCTTGTTTGTTATTTTAGTGTCCTGAATCCACCCCTCAAATACCTCCCACATTTTAGGAAATATCCTATACATAGACCCCATATAAGAAATTCTCCTATCCCATTCCTGAATAATGAAAAAATGAGTAACGTATACGAGTTCGCGGACTAATTTAATAGTGAATTTTAAAAAAAACAGCGATCTTTCTATCAAAGGACATTGATTAAGTTTTCAAACGGATAGTTCTGTTCTTCACACACAAAAAAACTGTTTATTCTTCGACTGTTTAAATTGCTTCATTTGTTTAGTAACATTGTTTGTACGATCATTAGTGACCTTCAAGGACTTATTGTTGTGGGTCGTTGAATTCGAAGTGGCTATCGGATACTAACAACAAAAAAGACATAGCATTCTATTTAAAAAATAAAGTTGACCTTCATATCTCATTATCCCATCCCAACAAAATAAAACTATTATTACTATACGCCGGGCCCCCATAAAACGATGCAACGTCTGTAGGAAACATTTTTATGAAATTTGGAATATAATAGAAATGTTTCACGTGATAAGATTAGGTGAAAGACCAGGTGAAACAGTCCGTATAATTAACCCCTTGCTGTACTTTGATGTGCCTGACAAATGCTATATTAAGCACTAGGTATGTTTATGGTGGAAATAGCGGTGATGGGAATAAGGGCTGAAATCTAAACAGTCTCGGCAGTGGGGAACCTAAACAAAAAACTCGGCATTTCCGCGTGGAGAACCTGACAGGCATTTGTTCGTACTATTGTATACGTACCTCGATCCTTGAGGTGCGATCAATAAATAATTTTCTTGTACAAATAGTGGTGCTATATTATAATCATGGAAAAACAAATCGCTTTTATCATGAATACTCATAAGCTTGTGTTCCTCGGCAGAAAATACTTGTTTCACAACATCCCAAGGTCCCAATTTCAAATCTTTGTTTATATGTTTTTTCTCAGATTTTTTTTGATTACCAGTACTGCCAACAAATAGAGCTAAATGATTTATTACTTGTCGAATATCTTGATTAGTCGACTCGATTAAACGATCAAGATCTTCTGTTGATATATTAATATTTTCTTTGAAACATATGGACTTCATTGCTCCCTATATAACAAATTATATTTTGTAAACAATACATTTTCAAGAAATAAGTTAAGTATTTATGCTGAATAAAGTTTTGTTTCACCCTAATCTGTTCCAATTTAGGCTTTGAAAATCGAAGATCAAAAATATAATTAGCAAGCGTTCTCATTTTGGGATTGTTCCGATCATTACAAATACAAATAATTGGTATTTCGGTTGATTTTATCAAGCTAATTAATTCCTGCAAACCGCCGCGATCTTCATTACCAGACATGCCATCAACTTCATCCATTAAAAGAACGTGCTTTGATGTTGTCTTATTTTTAGTATCTGTAATATATAATGTTTAACTACTTAAGCATTACAATTTTTGTGAGAAACCGTACAAAAAAAATACAAGACTGTAGCGAGAACATGTCTTTTGAAGGTACATATACTGCTTAAGTAGCTAAATAAGATATTATTGATCTTTTAATATTTGCATATATTTATAAGTGTACATACCTATAAAATAATCTTTTAACGTAGTGTTGGATAAAATTTCCGATACCCTCTCTTGTAGAAGTTTTTTGTTTCTAGTGTCGGATGCATTGAATTCTACGAGATCAAAACCTAACTCTTTACAAACGACTTGAACAGTTGTAGTCTTTCCAATTCCAGGCGGACCGGATAATAAAGCAGCTTTGAAGAAGGCACCGTCATCATTTTTCGCCCATGGACCTAATATAAATGGAAAAAATATTTTATTAATGTAAGTCAAATTAGTTGAAATTACAGTTCTAATATTATGTGAAGAATATAACTAAAAAGTTTCTTAATATTACTATTTTTCAAGGATTAAAACTCACTGGGTTTAGAATGTTTAACTTGTCCATTTTGATTTTTATGCCAATTCTGTAACCACTTATATAGTTTCTTGGCATTGCTTTTGTCTCCTTGTTGCCCCAGAATCTGCTTCATACTTTTAGGTCTGTATTTTTCAACCAATGCTTCTACTGATATATTTCCATTTATCTATAAAAGTGTATAAACAATATGAGAGCTTATAAAGTTAAAATTAATTAATTTGTATTTAATTGAATCTTACATCTTGTAACGAATCTGCTTTTATTTCTACATCTTTTATATCTTTAAGTTCTTTATTAAGCGATTGCTTTGTTTGTTTTTCACGACTTTCGTCACTATATTCTTTTTTGCGTGGAGATCGTTTCGACGTTTCTTTTGCATCTTCATCGATATGTTCCTTCTTGCTCGGTGAACGTACTTTTTCTGATTTCTCTGTTTCTTCATTTACTGTACTTTTTACTCTTTTCGGTGGTGAAAGAAATGCATCATCTGATTCCACGGATGATTGTTTCATTCTATCTTTTGACTTTGCACGAGATTGTTTTACACTCTCAGCGTGACCTGCTTTTCTTGTACGGATTAACTCTAATAAATCATCTTCTGTAATTTGTTTTACATTCAAAATATTTGCCTAAAAATGACGCCCAAAATTGACACACGTGTTAGTAGAAATTTGTAATAAATTTAGGGTCAATACCAGTAGGTAATATTACCTTTGACAATTTTGAAGGACCAGCTTGATCTCCAACTATAACATAATCAGTTTTCTTTGAAACTTGATGTAAAATTCGTCCCCCATATTTTTTAATGAGCTCTTCAGCTTCTTCTCTTTCCAGAGAATCCAAAACACCAGTGATTAAAAAGCTTAATCCAGCAAGGCAATATTCAGCACCCTAAAATATTAAGTTATTATATTTTCAGATCAACTTTATGAATAAAGGAAGGAATATATTTATACAACGCGATTGTCTTAGATGGAGTAATTTAATATATTATATGTTCTTTCAAAATCTATTGACGAAAATATCGGAAACTAACTTAAAGATTTGATAATTTTTTATAGATAATTTCAAAATAAATCTTTGTAATCCTTTTTCAAATAATTCATAGGAAAATGAATACGGATTACTTTAACCGTTTGATTGCGGACGTCATTTGATTGAACAGTGTCAAACTTGCAGCAGTGACTGCGGATGTCCTTTGATACGGTGGTATCGCCGTTTTAAGTTGATTAAGCAAGGAGCGCGATCACGCTCGTCCGCATATAAACGGTTAAGCATGTTTTCCTAGAACGTACAATTTGCGAAATATGTCAAATATTTTTCGATAAAACAATAACATTGCCATTGAACTCACATATCCTTCACATGTCTCAAACTATATGTTGGAGGAAAAATTCTTTCAGATACATATTTATTTTTTTAGACTATTAAAATATTTAAAAATGTTACAATATTCTATTTGAAAATTTAGGCTATCCACCTTACATTTGAAAAAAAAAAGAAAAATAAAACTGTTACTACTCTGATATGCAGGTATTCATTAGGCAAATCATGTAATCCAGTTTTAATCAACACATAGAATTCTTGCATAGATACCTCTGGAATTTCTTTTGAACCTGGATGCCTTGCTCCTCCCCTCTGAAGATACTGTTGATATATTGCAGCACTTTGTTTTTTTTTCTCAACTCTTTCTTCATATATATCTAAACCTTCTGTCTTTTTAGGAGACTTCTTCTTAGGTACCAATATTTCTATTTTCGATATACCTGATTTAGCTTCGGTCTTTTTTGTAGGCTTTGATTTACTACTGTGTTCAGAATTGTCATGCTCCGTATATTTGTTTATACTACCATCAGAGTCTTCATGCTTTTGTTTCTGTTTCTTGTTATTTTGTCCTGAATTTGATTTTTCAGATGTCTTATCCTTTTCCGTATTGTCTTTATTTTTATGTGGTGTTCTCTTATTCCCTTCATTTTCAAGCTTATTTTTGGGTGAATCATTTCCTTTAAATGTTTTACTACTAGAATCTATAAAGAATAGAAAAGGTAGAACTCCATACTTTTTTAAAAAGTGTATATATCAATACCTTTCACAGAATTATTGTCTGTTAAGTATTTCTGCTCAATATCAGATGTGTCTAATTGGACTAATGTTGCTTCAAAATCATTGTCATCATGACCTTCTGCTGTCTGTAAAATTAAATAAGTGTTAGTACAAAATTTATAATATTGACAAATTAAGAAAGTATTCTTATTTAAAACATCTAAAAGAACTAGTTAGTTTTATTAAACGTTATTAAAGTTTAACACTTCAGAAATTGGTGCTAAATAAAATATGTTGAAATTTGATCAAATAATGAAGTTAAACATTTTTTTAAAATGACACCTACATACATACACAAAGTATATATACATGAAACTTCAAACATATTGTTCTCATAATAAAAAGGTTTTTCTCATAGCTAAAACACTTTTTATTAATAATTACCTTCTTTTGCGATTTTTTTAATACTTTTGGAGCCTCCTGTCTACTGATTGGTTTCTTACCAAAAACAGAACTAGGGGAAATAATTTTGTTCTGCTTTGTATCATTATCTGAATCGGATGAAATAGAATTCTTTGTCAACGTCTTTGTTTTCTAAAATACATCCACAGCATATATTATTATTGTTATTCTATTGGTCACAATAGACAATTATGATTCACACTCATAATAAAATATGTTAACACCTTAGATCGTTTAATAGGTGATAGTATTTTTATATCATCCTCATCAGATGAAATTACTCGTCTTTTTGTGGATTTTGTTGGAATAACAGTTGAATTAGACTTAGTACTCTGGAAATAGGACCTTATATCCTGTAAAGATAAAGAAACTTGTTAAATTTTCAAATTCAAATTACAATACAATTAGTATAATACAGGATACTATATAATAAGGGTAAAACAGTAGTATAACGTTGTATCTGTACATGAAAGTATTGGTATATTGATATATATTTGTCAATATTTTTCTTCTGGTAATCTTACTTTATTTTAGTATTTGCGATATTTTCAATTACACTTCTACAAAGAAAGTTTAAGGAACAAGTTCAAATGATGTAGATATCCGAATATACTATATAAGTAATTTAGTAAAGAAATTGATGATGAAACTAAAAACCACCCATTTGTTAATTAATCTGTACATTAAATACGGGTATTTAACATTTTGAATGTATTTTAATTACAAAATCAATCGCACGTGCCCTTCTCTGTCCAGTATTACTTCAGTTTCAATACGACATGATCAATATAATACCGATTTTAGGTTTCTGCTACAAGCAATAGAATTAGGCTAAATTTGCTGCGGACTTTCGTTTGAACGGTATAAAACTTACCCTCGGCATGTTTCAAGTGTACAAAAACTTGACAGGTATTCTATATGTGAACAGATTCAACGATATCTTATGAAGAAACTATCACCACTTGAAGTATAAATGCTTTAATTTATCCACTACGATTAAGTCAACGCGGCGCTCTTCTGCGATGCATGTGATGCATACTGCGTACTAGTATGTAATGACAAAATAAGGCAATTTTAAACTTGACATTAACTGATTTATCAATACAATTAAAAATCTTTGAGTAAAATTTTTTTTACAATGAAAAAAGACGTCTTGCATCGATATTACCATACGCCGGATACTTTTAATTTTAACCGCCAACTTATTTGTATGAGTCCGTATATATGTATTTACTTAAGTACTACGGGACTACGGCGACGTGCGTTACGAAAAGTAGCACGTTTCGTTTGTCTTACGAAGACTAGCACTTCGGACTTTCTGACCACAAAAAGCAACACGTTTCGATTGTGGTCTCGAAAAGTAGCATGTTTCACTTATAGCGACGAAAACCATCACATTAAATAGGTTAGCTAGCATTCTACTGCAAAAATAAAAAGGTAAACGTTTCTTTTTAATGAAATAAACTTTTTTCATCCTTTGAATCTGGGCGACGTAGATGCATGTTCCGTATATTTTGTTCAAAATTCTCCGGATTCAAAGGGTTAATGAAAGAAATAAAACAACCAAATATAAACAAACAATCTAATTTATTTAAGTAACAATATTATTATAAAAGTGAATAAAGTCTGTTGGGATAAGATCTTTACTTATCATAGCTAATAAATCTTGCTTTTTCTTTAAAGACAATTCAATTTTTGTATTATAGGCATTTTGTAACTGATAGTTCATAATGTCCTCTCTTGACACGTACCGTTTCAAAATATTAATTTCTCTACTATTTTCATTGAAATCATATTTCACATTAAGTGAATTTCCATCTGGGCATACCCGAATCTCACGAATTGAAGCGATTTTAACAGAAGACCAGTTAAATTTTTTAGATAAGTCTTTAAAATCGAATATATCTGCCTGCAACTTTTCCTTAACTATGTATGGATTATGAATTTTAAAGTAATTTTACAAAATGCTTACGATACTAAAATTGGACTATCTTCAAGAAAAAAACAAGAATTAACAGCAATGGTATTTAAAGGTCTTATCCCGACAGAATTTATTCAATTTTATAATAATATTGTTAATTAAATAAATTAGTTTGTGTTTGTTCATATTTGAAAGTTCCACTTAATTCGGAAACCCTTTGAATGCAGGGAATTTCGGCCAAAATATACAAAACGTATACATATACAGGGTATTTCACGTAACTTGACCACCTTAAATACATATATCGCTTATTTTGTATGATAAAAAAAATATCAGGGGAGAAAAATATTCTGTTCGAAGGCGCCAATACGGTGATGGGCCGAATTTTTTTCTCAGTCATTTTTTTCAAGATTTCAAGGTCATCAAATTTTTTTTTAATGGGACTACATATTTTCACTACAACACTCTTATAGCATATAAAAAAACAAATCCAACGAGGTGCAATATGTTGACCTTCACGTGACCTTTGGCGAAAAAATCATGAAATGTTTGTCAGTAAGCTCAGTACGCGTTCGGGGACGGTAAATGAAGGAATTTCAATTTCATTGGAACAGTCTTTAGTTAAATCTTTATTTTAGAAGGTGTTCAAAATGTGCACCATGAACCTGGATACATTTTTGGAGGCGGTAAATAAATTCTTGCTGTACATTTTTATGTTGCTCTGCAGTAATTGATCTACATTCATGTTGAACCTTTTGTCGCATGTTTTCTGCCGATGAAAGGAGCATACGAATGTCTGTTTACAAGCAACAGGGATTTCCTTGCAACATCCATAATTATTACAAATGTCAATATAACGAAATATCTTTTATGCGATGTTTGTGGTGTAATAAAAATCTGTGTTTCGATTACGTTTTTGATACGTATTACTCACTTATATGTAATAATATAGAATAAAAATATACTATTAGTCCGATATTTGAAAATATGCATGCGTTCGTTGTCACTGTTAAACTGTTGTAATAACAATGGAATAATAAAATAATTTACTCAAATGTACATAATAATACATATACATATCCATAAAAACAATATTAAACGCAATAACTTTTTTGTACGCGAAGAAAAACTAATATAGGTCCGTCGGGATTAGAACTCAAGACTCCTTTCTAATACGTCTAGTTACAGCGAACGGACGGAAGAGAATCCGTTCACGACCATGGTCCCTTCTTAGATTTCACATAGTTCACAAATTCACCGTTCTTATAACGTAGAGGGCAGCAGAAAATCCCTGACTTTTTACACTATCGGTATTTCAGAACATGAGACACGAAATTCCATAAGATGATAGGTCTATCCTATACCTAGTCGGTGGTACTACTACAAATACGAATCGTAACAAACTGTCAAATTCGAGATGGCACTACAGGCAGAGAACAACACGTGTTTGAAGAAGAATTCTCCGAATTCTTTTGATTGTTTAAAAAATGTTTACATGATAACCGGCGTGTGCATCGTAATTGCTTAAACGTTGCTTATTTTGTACCCTGTTTTATTTATGGACAAAACAGTACTGAATAACATACTATATATCGAGGAATAAATTATAACCTTAACAATGGTGAAGGAACAGTTCAGAGAAACAGACGTAGCCCGTAAGATGTATGTATATCAATTTAATGTACTTTAAAAACATTATTTTACTTTTCTATCATGTACTTTTTTATACAAATTGCACTTTCAACAAAATAAATTATCTGTTTCGTGATATACACTATCATCAATCATTATAATGTAAACAAATTAAATGCATTTTTCATCAATTGATATTACTGATATTATAGAAAAACAAAGATATGTTGGTTTTTGATTTTCAAAATGGTTTTTGTAACTGATACATATCCTCGAAATCCACCTTTTAATAATTGCTTCTTTGTATTGTTGTTTTTTATTCTGTTTGTATTATCTTTCGCTGCAATTATATATTATTATAATTATTATAGGTGTAACAATTTATAATTATTATATGTATTGTCCCATACATATTTCATCTAATGAGTCTTATATCAGTCTTTAGCATTTGTAATTTTCTTATATTATCCTGGTGTATGTTTATTGCTACAATCATATGTATCCCTAAATAATTTGATAGCATATTACAATATAGATTTCAGAACATTCAATAGACTATAGTAGTTCATTAGACTATAGTAGAACAACATTTTTGTAATGTTAATAACTTCTTTTTGTCAGAACTTTGTTCAAATGCTCTATTAAACTTATTTGCATTGTTTTAGCTCCATATTTTTTATGAAAGCGATAGAAATAGCTACGTTAAAATGGTCTGCTTATATATTTACTCAACAAATTTAAACAGTGTACAGTATTAGGAAATTGAAATATAATTTATTGAAGTAATATTTATTTGTTTGTATATTTTGTATATTAGTTTAACTAATTGCTACCTTTCTAATAGATCCCATGTATCCTTTGGAGTGGATAGTCGCCACAACATGGAAAGGCAGGCCCATATGCATGTTGTGGCAAAGAATTTATATAATCAAGATGTCGAACATACTCCAGTTCCATATGGCGTACTTGATAGAAGAATGGTATTTATAATGATAAAATTGTTTTCTTTCTTGTCATCCATTTTATTAAAATATATTTTAATGGCCCAAATTTTTAGGGAACCTGTAACAATACAACAAATTGTATATCATGTGGCAAAACTTTAAATGAATGTATTGGACACTTCGGATACATTGACTTGGAATTACCAGTGTTCCATGTCGGTTATTTTAGAGCTGTTATTGGAATTATGCAAACCATTTGTAAAGTAATATGCCACTCATTTTGTTTCTGTTTGCACTGCGTAATATTAATCGTGACATTAATTATAACATATTAATTCATAGAATTGTTCTCACATCATGCTATCTCAAACTGATAAAAAACGTTTCTTAGCCAGAGCATTAAATCCCAATTTAGGATATTTATCCCGTAAAGCCTTGCGCAAACAAATTTTGGATAAAGCCAAGAAGACCAGCGTTTGTCAAAATTGTGGAGATCTTAATGGGACAGTTAAGAAAGCTGGCTTACTTAAAATAGTTCATGAAAAGTATAAGGCAAAGAAAAAAGTTGATGCTATTGTTCAAGAAAAATTAGCAGAATACAATAATGTGCTTGAGGATAATAAAGCTTTGGAAGGTGTACTTCAAAGTGGATTAGTTAATGTATTAAACCCATTAGAGGTAAAAAGCATTATGTTTTCTCATTTTAAATACATTAATGTTTCTCTAGTTGTTGCTTCATTTCATTCTGCATCTTGATTTATCATCAAACACGAATGTTTTTCTGTAGCTGTTTTGATTCAGTTTCAATTTTGCGAAATTTAAAAGTGCAACATTGACGAGATTTAGAAATTTTAGTGCATATAACAATGTCTTCATTTAAGGTACAAAGCATTTTAGAAAAAATACCGGAAAGCGACATTCCCTTATTAATGATGAATCCCGAATGTGCATTGCCAAAAGATTTAATATTAACGAGAATTCCTGTGCCGCCAATCTGCATCAGACCTAGTGTCGTGTCAGATTTGAAAGCAGGTACAACTGAAGATCATCTCACAATGAAACTATCAGAAATAGTTTTTATCAATGATGTTATTCAAAAACATAGACAAAGTGGAGCCAAAGTACAAATGTATAATGAGGACTGGGAATTTCTTCAGTTACACTGTGCTCTTTATATAAACAGTGAAATGTCTGGTATACCTCTTAATATGCAAGTAAGATTTTAATAAATTAAAATTACATAATTTCTTATTTGTTGCTAAAGGTATTCACAAAGTTTAAAAATATTTTAGCCAAAAAAATCTGGTAGAGGATTGGTTCAAAGATTGAAGGGAAAACAGGGTCGTTTTCGTGGTAACTTGTCTGGTAAACGTGTTGATTTCTCTAGTCGTACTGTCATTTCACCTGATCCTAATCTTAGAATAGAGCAAGTAAGTTACAATTTGCAGCTATGTACATTATCTATAATCGTTAAAAATAAATGACAATACATTCGTCATTAGGTTGGTGTACCCATTCATGTTGCAAAAATTTTAACATATCCTGAAAAAGTAAATCCATCAAATATAGAATTAATGAGAAAATTAGTGAAAAACGGTCCAGATGTTCATCCAGGTGCAAATTTCATACAACAGGGAAAAACTCAATTTAAAAAATACTTAAGATATGGTAATCGACATAAAATTGCCCAAGATTTACAGGTAACGCTATCTTCTAAAAATCTGTTTAAACTGATTAAATTTAGACATTTACAGGACGTGAGCAATGATTTTTATTTTATTTAATAGTATGGTGATATTGTCGAGAGGCATCTTAGAGACGACGATGTAGTACTGTTTAATCGACAACCATCTTTACATAAATTAAGTATCATGGCACATAAAGCAAAAGTATTAGAACATCGAACATTCCGGTTTAATGAATGCGTGTGCACTCCCTATAATGCCGACTTTGATGGTGATGAAATGAATTTACATTTACCTCAAACTGAAGAAGCACGAGCTGAAGCTTTGGTTTTAATGGGGGTACTGTATAAATTATTTTATATTACAATACATTAGTTATCTATACGGGAAATATGACTGCATATGTTTTTATCTATTTCCTTATAGAATAAATCAAATTTAGTCACACCTCGAAACGGTGAATTGTTAATAGCAGCAACACAAGATTTTATCACTGGTGGATATCTTTTAACTCGAAAGGATACATTTTTGAACAAAGCTCAAGCAAGTCAATTAGCTGGTTGCCTTCTAGCTGGGCATGATCTCGCCATGTCTATAAGTTTACCTGAACCTGCTATCTTAAAGCCAGCTATGTTGTGGACAGGAAAACAGATTTTTAGTTTAATTTTGAAGCCTAATAGTTCTTGCAATATCAAAGCTAATTTAAAAACTAAAGGAAGAGCTTACACTAACAATGAAGAATTATGCATTAACGATTCTTGTGCGTATAAGACTCTATTATACACATACAAGTTAGAACGATAAGAAAATAATTAAATGAATAAATTGCAGATGTTATTATCCGAAATTCAGAATTAATAGCGGGATCTATGGATAAGTCTACGTTGGGTTCGGGTTCAAAGCAAAACATATTTTACATTCTATTGCGTGATTGGGGCGAAGATATTTCAACAACGGCTATGTGGCGATTAGCAAGAATGGCAAGCTTCTTTCTCATGAATCGAGGCTTTTCTATCGGCATTGGTGATGTTACACCTGGACAGGGACTTCTCAAAGCCAAACAGGAGCTTTTAAATGCTGGGTAAAAATAACTTACAAAAAATGCAAGAAAATTCTTTGTTAATACTATTAATATATTATACACCGAAATTTAGGTACTCTAAATGTACCGAGTATATTCATCAAATGGAAGAAGGACGTCTTGTATGTCAACCTGGATGTACAGAAGAAGAAACTTTGGAAGCAATGATACTAAGGGAACTTTCAGTAATTCGTGACCATGCTGGTAAAGCATGTTTGAAAGAGCTTCATCCAAGCAATAGCCCATTAATTATGGCCTTGTCCGGTAGTAAGGGCAGTTTCATTAATATTTCACAAATGATTGGTATGTATAACACTAATATTTGCAGGAAGTTTTTATTTTATTTTATTTTTAATATCGTTTTGATTACTTACTTACTTTTACTTCGATTAGCTTGTGTAGGACAACAAGCTATTAGTGGTAAAAGAGTTCCTAATGGATTTGAAGACAGAGCTTTGCCGCATTTTGAACGACACTCGAAAATTCCTGCAGCTAAAGGTTTCGTCGAAAACTCCTTTTATTCTGGCTTAACGCCAACAGAATTTTTCTTTCATACAATGGGTGGAAGAGAAGGTCTTGTAGATACGGCGGTTAAAACTGCAGAAACCGGCTACATGCAACGGAGATTGGTTAAAAGTTTAGAGGACTTGTGCCTTCATTATGATATGACAGTTCGTAATTCAGTAGGAGACATTGTACAAGTTTTATATGGTGGAGACGCTTTAGATCCTACGTACATGGAAGGTAAAAAATGGTTACTTTAATATGACAATAGTAATTAATAAAATATATTTTTATTTTTTTTATTTAGAATTACAATGGTTTATTTCTTATACATACTATCTTCAATACCTATTTGTTTTTGTATTATTTTAGAGTCTATACCGTAAAGTTGATGTCCTTGCTCTATTCTAGCTAAATCACCATGCAAGAATGAAAAACCCTTAGATGGTACTAGTATAGTCAAAGCTACAAATGAATTATTGAATTCCGAGGAATATGAATGTCTCAGCAAGGAATTTAAGCAAGAATTATCGTAAGTGCAACAATAACATAACTTCTGCTGAACTTCTAATTAAATAATTCTGACAATATGTTGTTACGATTTATTGTATTTTTTATAGGACATTTCTTGAGACCGTAGCGCGTAAAATAGCACGCCTTCGGCATAATGCTCCACCGAGCGTACCTGTAATTTTACAACTTGAACGACTTACAGTTTCTCAATTAGTAGAATTTATTCACACTTGCAAAGAAAAATACATGAGAGCTAAAATTGAACCAGGCACTGCCGTTGGCGCACTCGCTGCACAGAGTATTGGTGAACCGGGTACACAGATGACCTTGAAAACCTTCCACTTTGCTGGTGTAGCATCTATGAACATTACTCAGGGTGTACCGCGTATTAAAGAAATTATTAACGCAAACCCGAAAATTAGTACCCCTATTATCACAGCAGCACTAGTAAGTTTCATATTTGAAATACATTGTTGGTGCCCCAATATAATAAAATAATTTGCATTACTTTTTCATGTCAATACTAGGTAAACGATTCTGATCCAGAATTTGCCAGGAGAGTAAAAGGTAGAATCGAAAAGACCACTTTGGGAGAAGTAACTGAATATATTGAAGAGATATACTTACCAGACGATTGTTTCTTACTAATAAAATTGGATGTTGATAGAATAAAATTGTTAAAATTAGAAGTAGATGTAAATTCAATTCGTTATTCGTAAGTACATGAACATTTTTATATTGTACAGAAATTCAGTTTTCAACAGATATTATTTCTCAACAAAGCAACATTCTTTAATTTCCTTAGAATTTGTACATCAAAGTTAAGACTAAATCCGAAATTAGTAAACGTTAGAGGTGATTCCATCATCACTGTGAATCCGAGCAAAAATAAGCACAGTTTGAATTATGCACTCACTCAACTAAAAGAAACAATTCCAAACATTGTTGTGAAGGTGAATATAAAAAATACGTTGAACACAATAATTTTTCAGGTCTCTAAATGTTTATATGATGCCTTATTGCACTATGTATTACAGGGTTTACCATCAGTTTCTAGAGCCGTCATTCACAATGATGATTCAAGTGGTAAAACGCGGTACAAACTATTTGTCGAAGGAGATAATATGCGTGAAGTCATGGCAACTCTTGGCGTTTTAGGACGAAAAACAACTTCGAATAATACATTAGAAGCAAGTATAAAATTAAGAAGGAAAATGTTTTTCGTTAAGAAAACATATGTCATGTACCGTTTCAGGTCTTCAAAACTTTAGGAATTGAGGCTGCAAGAGCAACTATAATGACAGAAATTAAATTAGTGATGGAGAACCACGGAATGAGCATCGATCGAAGGCATCCAATGCTTGTAGCAGACTTGATGACTAGCAGAGGAGAAGTGTTAGGTATTACGAGGCAAGGCTTAGCAAAGATGAAGGAATCCATTTTAAATTTAGCTTCGGTGAGATATCCTTTGCATTACTCTATCTGTGGTAATTTCAAACAAAATTACTAATACATCACTATTGAATAGTTCGAAAAAACAGCCGACCATCTATTTGATGCAGCTTATTATGGACAAAAAGATGTTATTTGCGGCGTGTCAGAATCAATTATTATGGGTATCCCAGTCCCAGTAGGAACAGGAATCTTCAAATTACTTCACAAATATCCTTTTCAAGCTTACTTTAAATTTAAAAATACATTACAATTATTCCATGTTCATATCAGTTACAATTTTAATGTAGTATTTTCCTTATTGATAAAATACAGCTGACAAGGATGAGCCACAAAAAAGGAATTTAATATTCGATGACCCACAATTCCACAAAAAGGTTACAAAAAACGCGACATAAATGTAAATTAATTGTTATGTACTTTGTAATAAAATATTTAATGTATATAAAGAGAAAAATGCATTCCTAATCAAACAAATAATTTCTATACATATGTGGTTTCCCTCTGCTTGGGATTTATGTTTTTAAGCAAGAAATATACGTTTAAATTAGTATAAGTGTATCATTGCGGTTCATTAAGTACTGTGTTTGCAGTTGCTAAGAAACAACATGTTTCATCCATATTTGTCACAGATTGTGTTACTGTAATTCAATGCGTTCAGAATCATTTCAACATATTCTATAAAGTGATGTGCTTCTAACGTGAAATTTTTATGTACTTTACCTTAGAGATAAAGGTGTCAAACAGTGCAATAAGGTATTTCATAAATTTTTCTTTGAACTGAAAATATAAATAACAGAACACCGAAATGGTAAACGAAACAGAATTTTGGCATGAAATTCGCAAAGATATCCCACACTACAAAAAAAGTAAACCGAGAGTTGTTCCCGCTTTTACGATTCAAGCTTTGCAAGTATGGTTTCATTATTTAAAAATTAAATTTAATGTTTATTGAAACGTAACTCTTATTAATAATATTTTTAGGAAAACACAGTAGTTGCAAAACCTCCACGATGCGGCTTATACAAACCACAACCACCTAAACCATCCACTTTTCGAAAATTTTACGAACGAGGTGTATTTCCGATTTCATTAGAAGCTGATATTTACGGACCTAAGATTAGCTGGAAAGTTAACATCGAAGATCTAGACTTTCATCATTATTTACCGTTATTTTTCGATGGCTTGACGGAAACCGAGCAACCATTTAAATTTCTAGTGGAACAAGGAATAACTGATATGTTAGAACAGGGTGGTCCAAAGATTTTACCGGTTGTACCACAATTAATAATTCCTATTAAAAGTAACTTCTTTTTCTTATACACAACCTTGTAAATATCTATGCACTGCATAAAGTACACTTCATTGCAGAATCTCTAAACACAAAAATGCCGGAAATCATATGTACTACAATGAGAGCTTTGCAGAAACTTGTACGTTCAGCAGATTGTGTTGGGGAAGCTTTAGTGCCATACTTCCGACAAATTTTACCAGTTCTTAATTTACTGAAAGATAGAAACGGTAAATTTTTTTACTTTATTATTATATATTTATATTAAAATAATAATTAAACTGAATGTTACAGTAAATCTCGGGGGAGGAATCGATTATGCGCAACAAAAAGGAGAAAATCCTGCTGATATGATACAGGAAACTCTTGAAATGCTTGAGATATATGGAGGCGAAGATGCTTTTATAAATATTAAATATATGGTTCCCACCTATGAATCTTGTATGATGAATTAATACACTGATTGGTATTATCTATTACTTGTTTGGTAATGATATTAACAGAATTTTTTAATTATGAAAAACAACATCTCTTAAATACGGTTATTTATAAATATTATACAAAATATTACAAATATTTTCAAACACCAAACTGAATTATCCGCACATTAGATTCTCAGTAAATTAACTTCACTTATACCTTTCCTGAATCCTCTTTCAATGTCACAGTTCTATTAAAAACAAGCTGTAATGAAAGGAATCAATTAGTGAAGATATATTATAAAGATAAGTATATAAATTTTCAATTTCGTACTTACCTTTTCTGATGTAGTATCTGGATCTGTAGAAAAAAAGCCGATGCGTTCAAATTGGAACTTATCGAAAGGTTTCGCCAAATTCATTAAACTTGCATCGATGTAACCGACAATTTCTTTTTTATTACTCGGATTAATATCACTTAAAAAGCCATTTGGTACTTCATTTGAATCTTCCGGATTTTTGTGTTTAAATCTAAAAGTTATATTGTACATACATAAATAAGCAAACTATTGCATTTTAAAATTATACTAAATTATACTAAATCCTTATTGTAGTAATAAAATAAACTAATGCTATTTTAACAATATTTCTCATTGTTCAACAATATTTTATGTCAGTTTTATCAAGCAAGATAAAAGAAATATATTTTTAATTTAAACTTGTATTACTTTTATTAAATGTTAGAGAATTACTAATTAATACAAATAATAAACCTAATACTTACAGGCGTTCATACAATCTAACAGATGCTAATACAGGATTTGATACCCAATGTATAAAAGCTTTAGGTTTGTTGCTTTCAGAAGCAGGTTCTTGTTTAACAATAATATTCATGATTTTACCACTGCTATCTTTTTCTATTTCTTTAACCGTCAAAACAACACCTGCATGCTTTAGACCAACCGACTGATTTGGCGTTAGACGTCGAAAATCTTTCTCTGCTTTCTATGAACATTTAATCAAATTTCCAAAATAATTACAGTAAATAATATTGCTTATATTGTCTTATTATGTAAAAATATAATGTATACCTCCTTAAAATCGGATGCTTCGATATAGACAAGCTTATTAAAAACAATGTCATGTTGTCCTTTTTCTGATTCATTAGGAAAATTAGGAACAGACAATTTCACATGATTTTCATGTGGGAAATTGCTAATAGTTATTTTTAATGGATCTAGCACAACCATGTGTCGAGCTGCAGTAACATTTAAAACATCTCTGACACATGCCTCTAAAACTGCTGGATCAACAACTGCTTGTGCACCAGTTACGCCCATTTGTGCACAGAAATTATTTATTGCTTCAGAAGGAAAGCCTCGTCTACGAAGAGCTGTTAGTGTAAACAATCTGAAAGAGATAAAATATATGTAAAAAAAAATAACAGATTATAGCTTATGTTCATAAACACATAATATTAAAATACCTAGGATCATCCCAATCTGCTACGAAACCTTGTTCAATTAGCTTGGCAATTTTTCTCTTTGAAACAACTGTGTAACTTACATTTAATCTGCCATACTCCCATTGTACAGGACAATAAATATCTAAAGCATTACAAAGCCAATAATATGATGATCTTCGTGATTGAAATTCTTTTGTACAAAGAGAATGTGTGATGTGTTCTATGCTGTCACACAAACAGTGGGTGAAATCATAAGTAGGATAAATACACCACTGATCCCCCGTCCTATGATGAGGAGTGTATTTAATTCTATATGCAACTGGATCTTGCTTTCCTTCTTCTAATGTTACTTTCATACGTAATGTGGCTTCACCTTCTTCAAGTAAGCCATCTTTCATATCCTATGTGCAAAATATTAGAATTATAACTGGTAGACCAGTCATTTATATACTGATAATACTATCTATAGAAAATGCAATTACTTGGAATAACTGTAAACTCTCTGAAATTGGCCTATCACGCCATGGACTTGGAGGGGGATTAAAACCTTTTATTTCTTTGCTAGATTGATGACAAACATACGCGAAACCCTTTTCTATAAGCTTAACAGCCCATTCATACAGCTGTTGAAAGTTGTCAGAAGAGTGTGTAATCTTAGCTGGCTTGTAACCGAGCCATTCTACCATTTCACGAATACCAACGAAAAACTTTTCTTCTTCCTTCTCAGGATTTGTGTCATCATAACGTAAGTAACATATGCCATCATGAGCTGCAGCATATCTACAATGAAATCACTTGTTGTAACATAATTTCATATGGTAAAAATAAAAATAAAACTAAAGACAAGTGTACACTGCAATATAAAACATACCCAAAATTAATGTTAATTGCCTTTGCATGTCCAATATGTAAAATTCCATTTGGCTCTGGTGGAAACCTAGTTCTCACTCTACCACCTGTTATTTTTAAATGTTCTTGTAACAATTTTTGTGTGCTTGGAGTTACAATGTATCCTTCAGTCTTATAATTTTCTCCTGGTTTATGAAAATGAACTTTAGTTTTCATTAATTCACTTATTGTTTGAGCACCCACTTTCTCATTTACTGCTGTCACGTTTTTCTGTTCTACTAATTAACAAAATATTAAATACTTCATCATTTCAAAAACATTTAAGAAAAAACTGATTTTAAGTTCATTACAAATTCTCAACTTACCTTTTTCTTTTTCTGGTTTCTTTATCTTTGTTTGTTTTACTGTTTTAGGGGGCAGAGCAAAATCAGAATCAACTTTAGGTCCTAAGAGTACAAGCATTTGAACATCAAATTCATTCTTCACTTCTTTTCCATCAGCCCATTTCAAATTATTACGCACTTGTTGCATTAATGGTCCAACATTCAAATGATATCTATAAATACAGAGAGTTGTATATCTTAAACTTTATAATATGTTATAAACACTTTGATGGAAAATAATAAAATAAAAACTGCAGTACCTTTTTTCCAATATCTCTGCTTTATGTGCATTTAAAACATTCTCTACTTCACTTTCAATTTCTTCTGGTAGAACAACAATGCCAATACCACATTCTTTCTCAAAATTTGACACGTCAATAGTTTTTTTCACATGGTTAAGCAAGAAACTTAATGCAGCATCTACTCTTTGTATTGTATCTAACTTTTTCTCAACTATGTATTTAGCAATAAATGGTAATTGGTCGGAAATTTGATTTTTAATTTTGGAAGCGAGATGGTACAATAAAATTCCAACTTCTGGTGTGATAATTCCATATTTATTCGCCTACAAATATGATTACATATGGTACAACTGAATGTGGAAGTGTGATATAATACTGAACAATAAAAGTAGCACTTCATTGAAAGCAGCCAAAAATATATCGATGGCAATTTTAAATAGATGAAAAAGTTGAATTAGTGTAAATGCAGTTTTTTAATGTACGAAATTTGCTAACCTCTATTATTGTAAGTTTTAAATTATTAGAAACCTGTTTATTTTTCAACGTTTCTTTGGCCTTTTGTTCACTTAAACCAATCGATTGAAACAATTTTATATCGTCTTCCATTTCTACCATCCTATTTTATTTCCTCTCTTTAACGTGTAAGGTGTAAGCAGTAAGTACTTATTTATATATACTATATAGAAGTTGCTTTAATTTTAAGATCAGCAAATCAATTCTCGCGTGTTCTTGCGTTCATGCGATATCGATGACATAGGGGTTACCGGGGTTACCTATATAAATTATACATAATGTGGCAATGAAATAAGAAGAAATTATGTATTTCGTTTTATTTTTCAACGTGTTATGTGTATACCAATGATAATATAATGATAATTTGATTAATATAGTATATTTGGAAAAATATTAAGTTTCAATTAATTACCCTATTATAAAACTGACAATTTTATTCATTTTTACAGATATTATTACAGGTCATGTATAATAATAGTTGGTTAAGTCGCATGTGATGTGTACAATACGATCGATTTATGCAATAGATTATATTATTAAAATTTAAGTACTACCTACCTATTTGTAAATATAATATATTGTACACACGAGTTATTTAAAAAAAATGAGCGATAGTGATGATGATTTACAATTATGTCCCACAACACTTGCTGTATTAAATGAATTTCTTAAAGAGAAAGAAGAAAGGGAAAATCAATTAAAATGCATGTCAGAAAGCCAAACATTAGACGTTTCTTTTGATGAAAACTGGGTAAGTGAATTTTTACTGCATTTTAGAAATTGTGACAGAATAACATTTGTAATTTTTAATTAATAAGTTAATATTACAATGAACTACATAAATATTTTATAAACAATGTTGTAGTATCCCTTTTATTTGCTTAAACATGCAAATACTATGTTCTATGGTATTAATATTCCCAATATTATATTAATTTTTAATATCAATAGCAATTAAGTCAGTTTTGGTATGATGAAAACACCACAGATACTCTTGTAAGAGGTGCTATAAATTCTACAGAGGCTGATGAACAAATTGCTCTAATTTCATGTCCTACCCTGTACAGCAAATTAAAAAAGAACTGTGGCAAACGACAAGGTATAAATACACATTATCTGTATGATATTATTATTAATATTATTAAACTAATTCTTTGTTCCTAGTAACACTTTTTGAGTACGATGAACGTTTTAGAGTATTTGGCTCTGACTTTGAACCATATAATTATAAATTTCCTTTGGATGTACCAAGAAATAAGTCAGGTTCTTATGATTTAGTCATAGCTGATCCACCATTCCTGTCTGACGAATGTTTAACAAAAACTGCTCTTACAATAAAATTCTTGGCGAAAAAGAATATTGTTCTTTGTACAGGTGGGTATTTATTCATAAATTGTAACTTAAAATTACATTTCAGTTTATTATTTTTATTAGGTGCTATTATGGCAGAATTAGTGGAAAGGCTGTTGGATGTTAAAATTTGTAACTTTGTACCTCATCATCAAAATAACCTTGCTAATGAATTTTATTGTTACTCTAATTTCGACTTTGACAAAATGTTAAAATAAATAAAAATAAGATAAAAATATGTACAAGTGTTGTTTAAATGTTTAAAATTGAACATTCAGTAAAATTTTGACATTAAAAGGAAATGTAAACATTCGAAATGTTCGTTACATTTAAATAGTTGGGGTACTTCCGGTCTACTGAAATGTTTCAACATAGAAATTGACGTGGATGACTAAGCAAAAAGAAATATTAAGACATTATTTTTCCAACTAATTAAGTAAAATAAATATGGAATTCTTCTTTTATTTTCTTGAGTATATTTTTTTATAATTAAAGACTGAAATATGTTGGTAATACTGGCATATTTGCAACATATTCGAACAAAGTATTAAATTTGATGACTTACTTTACGTTTTGTGTTCTACAGCAACTATTGTGTAATAAGCTCTATTTTAGCTTTATGTGCAGTTACATATAATTAAGGGAAGACTAAAAGAATACCTGACATAAAAAAAAGAATACGACTTACTTTTTTGAAGGGTTAAGTTTAAACTCCCTAGACAGGGAAAAAATAATCTCTAGGTAAACATCTGTGAAAAGAAGACACGCGATGGAAAGCGTAAATATTTACATTTCTTGAGTGTTTGTGGGAGTAATTTTTATTTATAATCATGATAGACGGAAACATTTCCATGGAGGAGGATACAGAATTACGGGATTTGGTGGTGCAGACCCTCGAGAATAATGGTGTTCTTGCAAAAGTGCGGGTATGCTAAAACAAAGTTATAAAAATCACGCCTTTTTCTTTAGGTTATGTACATTGTGTCAAAGAACTTGATTGAATTTTTTTATTTTCATTGTGATACTCTTTTCAAAGTTTTCTGTAATGTTATAGGCAGAACTGAGAGCAAGTGTGTTCTTAGCTCTAGAAGAACAAGAATCAGTAATGGTATGTCAAATTTTTCTATAATACGTAAATCTTAAGAAATCTTGATTGAAACTTGTTATATGTACTTATCAAAATATTTATTGTACATTTATTAACAAAAATTAATATGTAAATTATAGTGTACAATAAATAGTGTAAATGATAAATTATAAAAAATAATGTAAATTAAATATTATATTTGTCTACAATTTATTTATATAAGCTTCCTTGTTGTAAATATTAATCAATATTGTTTAATTATTTTTTTCGAAATTTAAAATATTCTTAATAAATAATTGACTTAAAATTCTAGAATCCAGAACCGCTCCTCAATAAATCTGTAAAACAGTACCTGGCTAACTCAGAAGGAAAATTATTGTTTTCCTTGGTTAGGGAGTTCCTAGAATATTTTGGTCTCGATTATACAATATCTGTGTATGATCCAGAGACATACTTTGGAAAAGAATATAATTATGTTGGAAGAAATAAATTATGTGAAGAATTAGGTATTGAATCTAATGAACCATTACTTGGAGAAATTTTAAAAAATAGCATGAATAGTGCCTTTAATAACACACAAAAGGTATCTCTATTAAAATATTTGAAACTTTTATTCGATTTAAAATATTAAATGTTAAATATACTTTGTATTATAGAATACAGTAATTGTAAAATATAACTGTTCTTACAGAATGAAACTAACAATAGCAGGCTTAATAAAACAGATGAAAGTGCAACAAATATTGCAAATGCAACATTTGAAATTTCCATTCCAAAGGTATTACATAAAGAAACAGCATCATTATCAAATAATAATGATATTTCGGATAAATTGCAGAGTGTTTCGTTACAAAGCCCAAAACTTCCGATAAATGTGACAATAACAGATAAGAAAAGTAAAGAAATGTCTTTTGACAATGTTTCAATAGATCAATCAAATTTTGAAATACAAAATGACTCTCTCAGGAAAAGTATAATTTCTGGAAGCTCAGAAAAGGACAATGGAATTGATAGTAAAGGGAACAATAATATGCATTTTGATACACTCTCTGTAAGTCCGAATGGCACAACTACAGTGATGAATCACATGATACAGGAGACTGAAATAGATACGCCCATCCAAACAAATTTACTAAATAAAACCGAGCCTTTAATTAAGTTTGATGAATCTATAGTTACTGAATTGCAAACAAATCAAAATGAAGATATAAGTAAGCAAAATAATATAAATAGTTTGGAATTACAAATAGCAAATAACGTACAAAATAAGAAGTCAGTTAATACTGGGAATAGTTTTGGGAAAACTGTATACTTTGAAGAAATTATTGTTGATGGGAAAAGAGAAAATATCAATACTATACATAATACTGAATCCTTTTTACAAGATTTACCATCTTTAGATAAGAAATCTCATTCTATACTTAGTGATCTCCCACCATTAAATGGCAAAAAGACTAATATTAATGATCTGAAGGAATTGATGGATATCGGGCTTGGTATGTTGACATATGTTTATCATTTGTGGCTGTAGATGTCTATACAATTTTACAGTTTCAGTTGCTTTGTTAGGTGTTTTTTTTTAAGTTAAAAGTAAAACAAAGAAACACAATAAAACACATTCTATTGTGCTTTACATACTCATATATGCTGTAAATATATAAACATTCACAGTCTAATCATTGATGTGCATATGGCATAACAAGCATATCATTAACATATTGTATTCAGGAACCGATGGAGTTGATAATTATGAAGAAGATTTCATTTCGTATGCATCTGGCAGTGCTTATGATCAAAGTCCTACTAAAGAACCTGACAGATCAAATAGCCCAATAAAATTGCAAACAAAAAAACAAGACAAAACTCAAAGTGTGCATAGTGAAGATATAAGTGAAGAAATTGAAGAAATTGACGATATATTGAGCAGTACTTCATGTGTAAGTAAATATAACACGGATTCAAGACTTTCTTACTTAATATATTTGAATAGGCATCAGAATTTTCTTACACAGTTTGAATACTCCTCGTATAATTCTTTTTTAGCTAGAAGACATAAATCTGGATAAAAATATATCAAATTTTGCAACAGGTATTACAACAAATTGTGCAAAAGAATTATAATCGAAAACTATAACTACAGATATTTCTTTCTGCAAGTATTTCAAGATGTTATTTTTTTCGTAACTTTGATACTTGATATCCTATGCTGAGGTATTAAGTATGTTACTGCAAACTATGATGGACACAAACTTGCAGAATTATTTTGGTTTTTGACATGGCACTGCCATTTATGGCTCAATACTTATAAGTTTTCCTACAAAAAAAACGTAGAAGGGAAATGCTGAATGAATATCCAGGAGTGTTATATTTTCAGTATTTTATATATATTTCTCGATAGAAATAAACATATTTTTGTACAAATCGTAAATTCACATTTGATATATTTTATCAGGATTTAAAAATCACAACTTTTGAATGAATATTCTGAATTCAGTACTATAGTGATTGTAAAATCACCACAAGAACGTTTTAACTGTTTACAAAAAGTGTACAAAACGTTTCATTATAATGGGCTAATAATGTAAAAACAAACTAGACTGCCAATGCCTTTTGCTACTACTGCAATAAGATGTAAAATTATATTTTATGTAAAAATCTAAGAATCGAAAGTAGATATCATCTGAAAGTTCCAAGATGCTTGTATGAAACAAGTGAAGGTAGCATATTTATAATTTTGTAATTTAATAAGAAATATTTGCAACTAGAAAATTGCATCGATATCATGAAAGCGAAATAATATTTAATTCAATCCAATTCATGAGATTTAAATCAAAGTGGGAATGGTTTTTGTTTTAAAAATTGTGATACATTGTTGATTGAATTAGAATTATAATACTGAGACTTTTACTTGGATTTTCAGACAAATTGCCTTCTACGTTATTCTGTAAATATGTCTAGTATTATTATTTTTAAAGCCAATTATCTCAGTGTTAAAATATCTTAAGAAGTGGAAAGTAATCAGTTACATTAATGATTGTTGAATACTTAGTTATTTCTCTCTGAAAAATTTTGTAATAGTTTTGTTGTGTTTACCAGAATAATTCTTATCTGATTTTATGACTGAATGTCATTAATTACCTCACTTAACTGAAGTTACTGGTATAGTATCGATAGCAATATTGATAAATCATCCGTCTAAACATGGATTGCCTAAAAATACATCAAATTATATTTTTTAAACATAATGGTGCTAAATGCGTGAAACTGAAACTATTATTTATAAAAGTTGAAGTTATTTAATGGGAAATTAGATACTTATGTGCTTCTTTGTATTCGTAATTTGTAATATCTAGAGTGCGGATTTCTATGCAAAATGACATTTAAAATAATTTATAAAGATAAAAACAAATGTAGGAATTTATTTTTCGTCTTAAATATCTTACTGGGTTCAGAATAAAATAAAAAACTCGTTAGATCCTATGAAAGTTTTGTCTGTTATTGTACTTCATTGAGCCTTATAGGCTTTAAATGCATAAAATCCGCAGTCTAGTAATATCTCAATGATTATCGAAAGATTTAGGCTAAGAAACTAAATTTTTGGGCAATCCAATAACTTGATAAACATATTGGTATAAATATATTATGCTCTGAATAAGATGCAATAACTAAGTACAATTCATGGTGGATCAACAGAATGCTTGACAAATCAAAATCTGTTTGTAAAAATGTACAGCCTGCTTCCTTCACAAAACTTCTTAGCAGCACACAATTATTTTAAGGACATCAATACTGAATACTACTATAACTGATTCAAACAAAGAGATTTCATAATCCTGTAATGTGACTTACAGTTCCATCTGCACAAGACTAATCCTACTTAAGACTAAGATTACTATAATTATAATTCAAATATTTCACACACAACTTAACTAGAAAGTCGTAATTGTTGACTGTAATTTCACTATAACAGTGCTATTTATAGTACAATATGACTGTATTTACTTAGTGTTGCTGAAAGTTCGCGTTTTTTATTCTACGTATTTTTTGTGCATTTTTTTATAAATTGCGAATACAAAAAATTAATATATGATTGTTTTGATATCTTTTAGGACACTGATCATCAAAACTATTTGTCTCTTTGAGACTCATACCTTGAACAGTAAAAATTGTACTGAATACATGTTTATTATAAACTTATCATTAGAAGATTAAGACAATGAAATCACTTAGTTTGAATCAATTTTTATCTCTATGTATATATTAAAGCAGGTGTGTTCCTGACCAATCAACGTGGTTACATTTTAAAATCAATATAACGTAATTTTATAAAAACGATTTCAGGACAACACTGAACATTCCTACACTCTATAGAACGTAAAGCATAAATACATTCCATTGTTATGAAGATTATTACACTTTTGTTGTATTGTTAGAATTAGTAAGATAATCTACACCATAAGTATTTTTCACTATAGCATATAAGAGAGAGAGAGAGAGAGAGAGAGAGAGAGAGAGAGAGAGAGAGAGAGAGAGAAAGGGAGAGAGAGAGAGAAAAGAGAGCAATTTAAGAAACGTTTCACAATTACACAATATATATTGAAATTTTATTTTGCATTCTCGTAAAACTTGGAAGTGTTTCTGTAAGCATTTTTATCGTAGGATATACAGACATTTTTATACTTATGTAATCTCAGTTAAACTTCATTGATTTATAGTTACATACTCGTGTATTTTAATATTTACGAAAGTCTTGTTACAGATTTATAAGGATTTTGCAGTTTCTTATTGTCACTGATATTTTTGTTACATTCATATACAAAGAAATCCTTTATGCACTGTATCACTTTACATTTTTTGTTAATCCTGTTTTATTTGGGAAAGTTCACTGCATGGTTACAGACTCTGTGATTTAGAAACAAAGATGAAATGTCGACACTTTTCCTTTTTCTAAATCACAAAATTATGGTTGTACTTCATCCATCAATAAAACTTTTGGAACGATTGGCTTTCTACTGGCTACTTTTCAGTGTATTAGCTATTTCTCGGTTAGTTATATTTCATTAACAATGGAAATACAATTCCTATGTACATATTTAATGGAAGTTATGATAATTAGGTATACTTTCAAATTATTAAACTTTGTTTTTATTCTAAATTTACTTTCTTTCCTTTTACATATAGAAGTTATGTATCACAATACTAAATTGTTTGTCCATGTGACACCAGCACAGAACAATTTAGCTTATAGTTAAAATAAATCTAAACTAACTTAAGTATTAGATACTACATATCCGAGGCATCACATTGTCTGCTACCATGCCACATCATCATAAATTGTTAATACACAGATATGTCGTTATCTTCTCTCATTTGTTATTTTTATGTAATAGAAAATTAGGCTTCAGCTCTTCTAGTAGGTCTATAATAACTTGAAGGACTTGTTACACATTAATATTTTTTAAAATTTGCAAAATGTACACATAAAGTACATTACAAATATTGAACCTTTCATTTTATATGTCAAACATATAAGAGAATGCAGTACAAAAAAGCTTGGGAATATATTTTTCCAAATAAAAAATCTATACCAAGTTTTGTTTTCCAATATATACATCTTCAAAGCAGTTTTTTGATAGGAAAAGAATATGATGAAGAAGTAATGACATCGATTTATTACGTTATAAAAAGTATCTGTATTAATTTGTACATATTATGACAATAGTATTTAATGCACCATATGCAAATTAATCATACATTTTACAAACACTGATACGAAATAGTTGTAATTATTATTTGCTAATTTATAATATCAAAGTAAGGAGATGAAGTATTAATGAACTATTCACAATATTTTTTCATACAGTCCTAGAGAATTACTTTTGTAACCACGTTGAAATATTGGTAGCTATATTGTGCCTTTTAGTGTGTATGAATAATAAACAATGCAAATACATACTATGGAATTGTGGGATTTACAAAACACCTAAGTTACTTATTTATGATTTTGAAGTACGATGTAATGATATTCATGTATATGTTATTTATTTTATAAAGATTTTTCTCTTTTCCAAGTGTTGCAATTTTTTCTAATCACCCTGCAACCAATCTGCATTAAGAATTCATACTGGTATTTAAAATATGTAGTGTAATGGTGTCAGAAATTTATTAATTCCGTAATTCTGAATGTTAATGAAAAAAATATTTATTAATTACGAATGTTAAAAAAAACTTCTATTTCTATCAAATTTACAACTATAATTTATTTTTTTGGTACAAAAACGAATTAAATAACATTTATCATGTAACATTGTTTAATACGCTTGAGAAATTAATCATAACAATATAATAAGTCTCATTAACTTTTTATTGCACATATAACACATAGATATTTTTAAATAATGTATTGAATAAACTTTCAATTTATTATATTATGTTAGTATTCTATAAATGCGCATAACACTGTGATTATAAACTGCATTATCCAAATTTAAAACACTTCTTGGGTGTAGACATATATACAAATATAATCTACTTTGTAATTGGAATTAATTAGAATTGGCAATCTTATGTACAAAACTATTTAATATTTATAACTAACAGATTTGATATAATAGATTGTTTTATACAATCTCATAATAAATATACATTGTAATTACAATGGTGATATTGCTTAACAATGTTTGGAAAATAGTTGATATACAACTATTACTGTTCAGAAAACTACAAGATATACAACAAAGAAACAATTTATTCAGAAACTGTGCTTTTACATTCTGTTGCGCTCTCTTTGTAGTCGATCACTATATGCTTTTGATACGAGATTAAATGTATCCATATATCGGTCCATACACATTGCTACACATTTCTGTAAATAAAACATAATGTACAACATAATTTTATATTAATAACAATAAAAATATGCTTTTAGTATTATAACAAGATCATAATTGTTTATGAAGATATTGTAAATTCTACTACTCAATTTTACAATAACTATAATGAGCAAATATTCTATCTTTGTTTTATATTTATTTATGGTATGTACAAGCACTTCTCATAGTCACATATATTATTATTACTTTATGTAGAAATGAATGCACAAATGTTATAAAAGTGCTTTTAACCATATTGTTTACATAAATGTTTATATTTAAATTTCTGAAAATGTATTTTACACGTGACCCGCTTAATTATTTTATAATGAACAGAACACGCGTCGATTGATTACCGGTGAAAAAAATAAATATTTAACTTCAAGTAAACATTAGATTATAAAATCAATTAAAAGTAAGCTTTTATGATACTTTAAATGCCAATGCATTTATGATTCGAAATTTCTCAGTATGTTATCCAATCCTTTTGTATAATATTTAAGCGTCCTTAAGGTTATATTTCACCAAGTAAGAGAGGTTACCTGTTCAGAACTGTCCAGCGTTGTACCCGGCTTGTTTATGCACTTTTTGAAGCATTTCTCTGTCATTTTCTGAAAATAGCAGATCAAATCTGTATCGTTCATTCATCTTACGTACGTATAAGTAAAAAGTAATATGTACTTGTGTAATCATACCGTAAGTAATTCCTGTGCGTTTGCAACAGCGATTTGTTGTCTAATTTGTTCCATAAGTTCATCCTTTTGGGAACTTGTTAATGAGCCGGACGACAGAGAATCCATATTTACATGTATTAAATAATTGTTTTTTATACAGTAATATTAAAATTAAAATCACTTTGCACTACTACTGTCCCCGAATCATATATGTGTTTGCCCGACTGTGCCGACTGTGCCCGACTGGTTCAGTAAACCGGAAGCACGTGAAGTTGCCCTTTTAAATGCCGTTTACAATGGCTTGTATACAGTTAACAGCTTACAGTTACGTAACGATTATTCTGGAACTTTTTTGATTATATATTGCATGTACTGATAACGCTAGTAACTAATCATATTTGAATTGACATAGAAATCTGCAATTATGAATTTCACATTGCACACAATTTTGTGCCATTATTGCATCTCCTTTTAAATTTTTGCGACGTGCTATTAATATACAAGAAATTTAGATGGTTTTCACGAATTCGACCTAATGATTACATTCAATACCATTGTAAGGTAAGATTTGTACGTATATTCGATAATTAGAGAAGATCTTTGTGGTGAATTTTTGCCTGAACTTTTTCCATTAGGTGTCCATGCAAACTCAGCAATTGCAACTCAAACTTTAATATTTAATGAATTGAAAATAGTTTAAGCGAGAAAGCTGATATTTTATAGAACTTGTGTTTTTCGATATCACTATACGAACCTGTACAAACTACCCAGATAGCACATGACGCCCAATGACGCCTTGAAGACGGCTTGAAGGCGCCTTAGATCTAAAATACGCGTAAAATGGGCGTCTGCAAGGCGTCATGTGCTATCTGGGTATAATTTATTTGTAAATAGACATATAAAAAGCCTTAAATTATGGATACAAAATGGAACATTTTTGAGACACAAGATACAATTAGAATTTTTTACCGCCATTCGTCCCATGTAATATTCTGCGAATTTTGCTTCAAAACTTGTTTTGGGAACACCTAATGTAAAACAATTCGGTGAATTTGTTCGTAAATAAATCTGTGTACATCTTCCGTCCAATTATCGTTTCTTAGAGATGTACCTACATAAAACAAAATTGTTTCTCCATTTTTTTTAACACTGAAATAGGAAGTCTTTTGAAATTTGCTCCTTGGCGATCAGTTTTACTTAGTTAGGATGTTTCCCCGATTTCTAGGGCATTTCACCCTTTTAAATTGTTTATTAGATCTTTTAATATGCTGCCGGTATTTTCTAGATGGGCGCCGATACCAGTGACACCGAACGAATAAAAGTTCACGTTGAAAGTCGAAATAAAGTTCTTCTTGAACTTCAACAAATATACAAGAAACATTTGTATCTTCGTATTACTGATACAGGTTACGTAAAAATGACTGAAAACGGTATCGGTTTTCGAAAACTGAAATAATACAGGATGTTTCCGTTTATCTTGATTATCACAAAAACTATATGAAAACGTATTTACATTAATACACACATTGTAACTAAACAGAAGATATGAAGCAATCTGTATATATTAATATTACTATGTAACGTCTTATTTTCATACTAGCTAAGAAACATCAAACATACTGTGTATTAATGTGAAATACTGCTTCCTTAAACGCTTTGTATGCGGTTAAATTAAATGAAATGCCCAGTATTAGGTGTACCAACAAGTAATCTACTGTAATTTATTAGATTTAGTATTCACGTTTCGAGAAATCAGAAGTGTATTCTGCTTCAATAATATTTGTTCTTGTTCAATAACAACCTTTCCAAGTTTTGAAAAATAAAAGGTCAGGAAGGTGTTTAGAATTTATTGAAATAGATAGTAGATTAATTATTGGTACGCAGAATCCTCTAGGATAACAAAAGTATTTACTTGGAATTTCTTATGAGCTTAGCTTCAGTTTTGTTACTATAAACTATGTAATTGTAAGTATGTATTCATACGTGCATCATTTGAAAAGTTTTCGGAATGAAGCATAGATGACATCGGTAGTTCTGAAATTTTTAGTTTATCGAAGATTTTCATTTGTTATGTGAATAATCGTAACGTATTAAGTCTATATACTACATATAATATTTTGTAGTGTGAACAATGTATTTAGAACACTGGTCTATAAAATTGGAATATCGTCGTCGGTTCAACTGCATTGATGTTAAAGGGTATTACTATACTGAAAAATAGGATTATTTTAAAAACGATATAAGTTGTCTTTCCATTCCATTCCGACTACTTTTAAAATACTAAAAGTTTTATATATTTTTTTTAAAGTTGTGTTTTTCTGTAATTACCATAAACAAAATATCAGTTTTAGTTTCGGTGCTCAATACCGGCTCTGACTCAAAATCTCAATAAAAAATTGAAGATCGTATTTAACAAATCGCATGTTGGTTCTTTTTGAATGTATATTGATGCAGATGTACACAATGAAGCAGAAACGAGAACTGAATCGAGCTCGTCTGTTGTGGAAGACCTTTTAAGCCAAATGAATCGAAAGAGATTAAGGAATTTGGATGAAGATGGTAACCCGTGTTGTCGATGCAAACATTCTCCAAATATACCGCAAAATTTTTTCGAAGATTTTGAAAAATTATCAGATTGTGCGGAAGAGTACGAGGCTGATATAACATTTATACAAGCTCTAGTTTGGCTGAAATCAGCGACGAGAGTTATGAAAGATATCTCCGTCGAACAGTTTCATTTAGTATTTCATAAACAATGGAACGATATTCCAAATAAAAGTAATATTATTAGTCGATGTTTTATATTTTTTTAAGTAAAAATTGTCTTGTTTTTATTTATAAGAGGAGAGGTACAAGTTATCTAATGTTAGGTTTATGTGACATTATTCGTGGTATATCCAAAGAAGATTATTTTGTGCACAAAAATAAATCGAACATGTTTAAAATAAAATTATCTTTACTTGGAAGTTTTATATCGACTCTATGTGAAAGATTCTTTTCTTGTTGTATTAAGAATTGTTTTTGAACGTTTGAATATACATACATACAGGGTGTAACAAAAATGTTGGAGGACCCGGAAATGGCTGATTCATGAGGTGATTTAAAACAAGTTTTTCTTAGCAAAAATGTTATCCAAGACTTTGTTAACGATATATTAACGAAAAACCCCGACCAATCAGAGCGCGAGTCTGCCAGCCGACAGGTTATGATTATAGGCAGGTTTAGCAACTTTTAGTATACAACAAGCGTTCAACGATAGATGACTGTATTCGTTCTTAGAGTCATAAGGATTAATGGTTTCAGAGAAAATAAGTTGTAACATTTTATCTGAGACATTTTATATGTATTAATCTTTTCATAATGCTGTATGCGTGACTCCTTACGGGTAGGTAAAGTCATGCATTAAAACGAAAATGTGTTTATTACAGAAGAGTGTAAGAGTATGAGTAAGAAGAGTAACAGTATAAGAAAAGTATAAACTGTGTAGTTTCTAAATTATACATATGGAAATAATTCTAATAAAAAATACTATTATTAAGCATTTGATGCTTTTAAATTAAATATGTTGGGTTCACGAAAAAAAAAAAGTAATATTACATTAATACAGCGTCAAAAATGTATTAAAAGGTAGTCAAGTATAAAATATTTTCTAAAATGCAACGTCACAATTAATATTTACAGGAATTATGTTTATTTTTAAGCAACGTTATGTATAGATTGCACCTGTCGCATTATTATGTTTTTTTTTTACTGTTACTTTATCGTATCATGATCTCTTAATTTACGTCGAATCACGATTGAAGTACTGTGTAAAAACAGACTGTTCATCGTAAGATAACTTCAAGATCATGATTCAGTAAAAACACGCGAGTAGAGTTGCACTATCGTTAACTAGAACGCATGGCTTCATATCTCTTGTTGACGTCAGAGAAAGATGAAAAACCCAGAGTGTGTATGAAACACCAAAATCAACGTCGGGGGTTTAGATACATTAGGGAATCACCGTTAGTTATGAATTTCTTAGAGCTGACTAAACTAACCAATACTGTTATTATTTCAGTAAGCGTAGAATAGGAAATTTGCAATCTGTCATTTTGACGGATTCGATAGTTCTAGTGTTAAATTGATCGCCTTTTGCATTCCGAACCAGTAATTTTAATCAAATCAAAATATAGCGTTGCTTATGTAAAATTAGGTTTGGTTTAAGTCATAATTTAATCCGTGTCAAATCTGTTTTAAATATGTATACAAGGCAATAGAATTTGTGGCTGCTTCCAATTTTCGTGAAAGCAAATAAGACAAAGTAATTTTTATCTTTTAAACTATCAATCGTACACATTTCACTACTTTTCATTTTATCGGTATGGATTGATCTTTCTATATGCATTTTAATACAGATCAAAATGCTGTTTTATAATATACGAATCATAAAAAAAATTTTCTCAATAATTCTGTTCAAGGTCAATAGTCTCAAATTTTGAAAAAATATATTGAAGTTCTGTGAAATTTTTTTTGTAAAGTAAGTTTTTTTAACAAAATGAAGTACTCTACCAAAATATTTTATTATACATTTTCAATTTGTTTTTGTATGCGCAATTCTGTCTTTTTCGGTTGTATCTCGATTTTAGGAATGTCCTGTGTAATATTTATTTTCAAAATAAAGCAGTTTCATTTACAAGATAATTGTTTCACTATTAAAACCAAATTGAAATTGTTACATAATTATAAATAATTCAAATTAAAAAATTACAGGTAAAGATTCCGAAATTTGTAATCAGGATACAATTCTCGAAGTGGAAGAGCATTCGAATTCGGCCATATTGCTTAACGAGAATCTGGAGCGTCATAGAGTTTTGGGCAGTGATCTAGAGTGCACCAGTCCCGATTTACTTTCCAACGTGAAACACAGACAAAAATTTAATGTAACGCAGAATCAACGGCACACAAAACAAAATGACGAATACATTACAAGAAGGACGAGTAGTCTATCCACCTTCTCATTCGAAAGTACTCAAACGCATTTTAGAAGTTTCATAGAAAATACTGCGACCGGAAATAATTGCGTCATTTCGGATTCGGAGAGAGAAGATTTATCATGTTCGGATATGTTTAATGATTCTATAGAGAGTAAAGAGATGAATAGTGCAAGTAAAAACGAAATAAACAATAAATTGCTGGATGGAAACGATCTGATCACAGCCAAATCGGCGGTAGAATTGCCTCTGCTACTCTCGGGAATCGACTCATCTTGGTATAACGATTCCTCGCAGAAAGTTGTTTCTGAGTCGAAAAATGATCTTTCTTTTAGTTCCAGTGACGATGAAACGATAGATCTGTTTAACGAGAGTTGTTCATTGTACAAAGGGAGTGCTAACAATTCACAAAACGATGTAAACGGACGATTGTCGAAGACAAACACGAAGATAACCGAGCAATACGTGAAAATGACCGATTCTCATTTTTCTACCAAAAAACCGACCGTTTCTTCGAGTCTGGTTGATAATGTTAGTTCTCCCAGAAAAGACAGCGCGTACGATACGTATCATTTGAGCGAGGAACACTGTGTTTCTCTAAACGGAGACGAGAATTTCTTTCTAAATTCGAAGATCGATGGCATCACTTCATACCAGCGATGTAACATCGCAGATGGTCTGGACTTTCTTGATGCCGATATGGACGAAAAAGCGTGGATTTCTGATAACAATCGGGATTCGTGGCTACCCTCGTTGAAATTATCGTTGTATCAAAAGAACGATGGAAGTACAGATTCCATTCAGACAGTTGGAAGTATTTGCCACGACCCAGAGTCATCCCAACGAAACAGATGGTCTCAACAAAATGATAAATTGATGGAGAATGTTGAAAGTAAGGACACCCCTAGGAAGAAACGAAAATTAGAGTCGACTCCGAAAACGGATTCTTCACTAAGGGGAGATATACAAGAAGAAAAAAGGCTGGTACCCTTGCAGTTGTTGAGATTTACGCTAGATGCTCTAAATACGGACGACATTGCGTTTCAGTCGATGAAAGTAATTCTTTCGATTCTTCGAAACGACAGAGTAACGAGACAATACATGAGAACCAGATATTGGAAGAATACGTTAGAGATGCTGGCTGTGGACGCTGTCTTAAATTTTTGCGACATTTTCGAAACCGAGAACAAGAACAATGCGTGTACGAATGAAATTGTGCAGGTGATAACGAGCACGCTGGAGACAAGCATAGACAACACAGAACTGAATAAGGTAATTGTAGAATATGGTTATCACTAGACTGCGGATTATACGCATTTATAGAGTACACGATTGTCTAAAAGTCAGTATAGTGAGAAACCTAATAAAGTTTAACCCTTTTAACTACGAGTATATATTCTTGAAACTAGCTATCTAAATGCGAAAAGTAGGTCAATAAGTAATACTAATCAAAATAGAAGGTAATAATAATAGTAAATAATAAATAGTTTTCTCATCATTTCCAACACTATTTGAGTCACTGTCTATTTCACTACCATCACTTTCCCTGTTCATATCAGTATACGAGCATGTTTCTTCTTCGTTGCCTATTGACGACAGCCGTACTTTAAGGGTTAATGACATATTCATTTAATTCGAAATTAGAAGAAACCCTTAATGAGGTAAATAAATTTCTGTTAGATTTCAATTGTTGTCAATTAACTAATAAAAGTCTATGTTTGTAAATATAAACATCCGCAGTCTAATAATGACGTTTTTATTTTATTTAGAATCTTATATTTATCGTTAGAATAAACCTACTGTTTCTGCAAATCGAATCCACTCTTTTGCAGATGAAATTCACCCTTTTGCAAATTCCAAACTAAAAAGTAATGAAAAACCATAAAAAAAATGCACTCATAATTAAAATTTCAAACCACAGCTTATGAAAATTATCCGCCCAGTAATCAACGATCTAATTTCCTTTATGATAATTTGAGTAGCTGATTTTTTTTTTATTAAGAAACGCTCAGATATGAGCTCATAATTTCTTGTTTATTAACATACAAATTTATATTGTTCATCTTCTTTAATAAAGAAAAAAAGTTTGTTTTTCTTTTTTTCGTACATTTACCTTCAAAACGAAGCTTTAGGTAACTGGGGAATTTAATTACCGAAGTAACAGTAAGTAGAGGCGATGATTGCTGCGCCTTTTCATGCCGATTTTCTACCTGACCAATTCTTCAGTAATAAAATTGACCGACGACCTGAAATTTTGTGTTAACAAGTAAATGCATGAAAATGTGCATTCGAACAAAGTTATGTACACGTACGTATAGTAATAATGTCATAAAGCAAGTTGTAAATGTAGTGGCTGTCATACATGACCATATAATCTCTCAACATTTCCTCAATAATATGATTACACTATGTAATAATGAAAATGTTTATGTATGAATATATATTCTGTGTACTATTTTCTTAATAGATATTCAGGTAAACAGGAAACATATTCTTACTATTTGGTACATGAACATTCTATATAGATGTTATTCATTCATTCAGCGATTTATTTTTTAATACGGATGGTTTAATTCAAGAAAAATAGAAAAGGTTCTTCCAATTTCGTCAACGACGCGTGTCGAGCGTTCTCGTGCGCGCGATAGCCGTGTTTCCCCGTCTTCGCGAACATTTGCGCGCTGCAAATGCGCGCCGGGTCGTTAAAATCGACCCCTCTTGAGGGTCTCAAGTGGAAATTCTGTTGCATGTTGCTCTAGTATGGACGGAATTTTGGCCACGGGCCGTGTTGGGCGTATTCGTGCTCGCTGTGGCATGTATTTGGACCTGCCTTTACGTCAAAAATATTCTGATATGTGTGGCTCACTTCGAAACAGTGTAAGTTTGGTGAAAGTGCATCAATTTCAAATTTGCAGAAGAGACCGGGATCTGATCTAACAATAAACGTTCCTTACACCAATACAAATAAATCATCTACGTAAAATAATCACAAAGACAATTAGGTCGTTGATTGTGTGGCAGCTAATGTTGATTATGTTATGGTTTGAAGTTTTAGTTTTGAGTGCATGCTTAAAAATGTCTTTCATTACTTTTTATTTCGGAATTTGCAATAGGATGAATTTTATTTGCACAAGGGCTAACTTGATTTATAAAAAGTTAAATTTGCAGTGCGAAAACTGTATTTATGTATGTGCTTATTTATATACCTATTAAGGGTATCCATTAAAGGTATACATATAATTAAGGGTACTCAAAGATACATATACTCATACGTAATTTCTGTTTGATTCCATTTTTATAATTCAGAATGATATTGTCTATACTTAATTTACATTTTTACTGATGTTATAATTTCGAATCATTCAACAATTCGAAGTACGAGCACATGGTATATTTAAAAAAAGTAATTCATAAATTTTTAACAAAATCAGAATCACAATATTCAGTATCGATTTAAAAACTAATATCAATCAGTTAATTTAATAATGACACACATATTGTTTATTACTCCAAATAGTAGTAACACTATTATTATTTTCTTATTATTACAAGTATCGAACGCATAAAAAAGAAACAATTATTGGGTGCTTTTTTAATAGATCACTCTGCCGTATTAATATTTGCGGTAAAATTAATTTTCATATTAAAATGAAAAATTATGTTTTTCAGGTTACAATATTGACTCATCAAATGTCCATTATGTTAGAACTGTGCGCTTCTATGACAGTTTGTATTGAAATTATAAATTATTTAACGGCAAAACTGAAATCTTACGAATGCATTTTAATTTCATTGGTGAACGGTAAAAAGGCGAACATATGTGATATAATAAATCAATTACACATTATATTTTATGCGTTAAGTCTTTGTCTGCAAAAATATCGGGTAGTGTTTTTGCAGAAAAGTGATAATCATTCCGAAGGGGAAACAATAATACCTGTCGTTGATTTATGGAAAAAACAATTAAAATTTGAGGTTGATATAGTACAAGAAAGCATGCAAGCTAGAGAACGTCGATGGCAAATGATTTTTAATGAATTTAGTGTAATTGCCGTAGAAATTTTTGTTCAATTTGCAGAAATGTCGCGCCGGATGTATAATTTATTAACACATAAACAATCAATATAATGTTTAATTATAATGTAATGTAACAATTATAATATAATATAATTTACCAATTTAATAAGGTTCTACGTATAAAAATGATAAGAAAATGCTAGCATACGAAACACCTAATGCTTGACTCTTCAGTTTGATTTGTGCATCTGTAATAATACTTACTTATTTATATTCTATTACTGTTAACTTATATCAGATCTAAATTATTGAGAATTACATTGCATTAGTGTTGCAACAATGTATGTACACATCATTTCTGTTTATAGAAATGATTGTAAATTTTCTATTGGTAATAACAGTATAAAAATTTTCTAAAGTTTGAGCTAATACCGTTTTACCACTAAATTGTATATTGATATTTAACATGTTTAAAATTTATTATTATCAACTTTTCATACAAAATTTAAATTGACTAATATGTAAAGAAGACTAATATAAATAAGAATATAATTGTTATGCTGTTTAGTTTATGCGATTCTGATCGATTGTAAATAATGTTGTCCAATAATAATTCCTCGTCAGAGAAATCAATACGTCTCCAGTGACACAACGATTGTTCATTTTGTGGCAGTAGATCGAAAAATGTATTCAAGAATGTTTTCAGAGGACATATTTCTGTGCAATTTGGTATTGTCAAAGGAATAGTGTTACCTTCCACTCCCGTATAATAATTTATCTGAAATAATAATGGTGTAATTAATGTGATGTAAAATTGTAGGAAAAAATTTTCGCTCTCAAATAAAGCTAGTAAAATTAATACATAGAAGAAAATGTTTTGATCTTTGTTTTATTAAACAAATATAACAGCACATGCAGGTTGCAATTTTCTTTCTTGAAATGTTTAAAAAAAATGCTCAAAAAAATCTTTACAAAGACAGCAGATAGTTGCATGTGAAATACCAGCTATATTTAAAAAAAAAAGAACAAATATGCCATTACATTCTTTTGTTATTATTTTCAATCCCTGATGTTATAAAAACGTACAAATTATGAATTAGTATATGATAATAAGTATGTTTTACTGTAATTTCTCTATACTTCTGTAAGGAACTGGAATCTTTATAAATAATCTTTGTGCTTTTGCAGATAAAAATATCCATAACTCAAAAATAAAGTATATTCAAGGTCAGTAAACGAAGTTTTTAACATTTAATCATTTACTTATAGAGTACTTCGCATGTGTATACACAACGGAACGAATATGTAAATAATATCGGTCTAACATTTACTGGCATGGCGAACTATCTATTAATGGTATCGTCCGACTCTATAGCTGTCGTTCCTGGTCTAAGACGGAACAGAAACTATTAGGTGTACCAATAAGTATCATTTCTTTTCAATAAACTGGTAACACAGTTCAAATTTAGAACATCATTCTACCCTTTCGTTCTTTCAAAATGGCGACGAACAGTGAAGAACGAGGATATCTATCTCTGTAACGGCATAGGCTTCTGATTTCCTCGAAAATAAGTATTAAATTTTAAAATAAGTACATCTAATATATTGTATATTTTCGATTAATTTTTGTATGAGGGAATACATTATACCCGGTTATATTATCATTATATGTCTAAATGCATAGTGCATGAAGCATATTGTAGAAAAACCACTAATTTATAAGATACTATACAGAATAGTAACGATTTGATAAAAAAAAAAAATTAAATACCTTTATTCCATGATGTTGCGTTTCATTATCGTAATACATTTCGAAGATCACCGAAGCAGCCTCGTTAGGTATGTGCGGTGACCACAGATCGAGACTCTTTAAAATGGCAGCGATATTTCTATCGTTACCGCTATACATCATAAGTTTCATTTCTTTCGATATACCTCCCTCGATATATTTTAAAGAATTCGTTATAATTTCCTTTATGAACGTTCCTCCGTTCAGCTGCTTTTGTAGAGGAGTTTGAGACAGAATATCATATTCTAATAGCGTTACGTTGTACATTTCTCCATCGGGAAAGACATCTTTGGCCCAGTATGGGAGAGATTCATTGAGATCAGCCTATGAATTATATTCCCTTTTGTTTGCAATGTTGTGGTATGAATCGTCTTGTTACTAGTGCTTGCGATCACATGAAAGATTGATTAATTTACATAAATTAATATTGAATCTACTTTTCGCAGTGAACGAGAATGATACTATCATTTCTTAGAAATTAATTGGTATATGATCAATTGTATATTTCAATTTGATACAATTTTAGTTAGTAAAAATATGATACATTGAGCAATATTGTACAAGGCAACAAAAAATTATCTATCATGGCTTTCATGTGATTACCAACTGACTTTAGTGACAATACGATTAATTAAACGACATTTCATGTATAAGGTGTCAAACGATTATCTGTCATGACTTTCAATATACAGGGTGTTAATAAAAATGTGGAACACTTTCACAGGGTGGATTGTTGAAATACGGGTAAAATACGCGTGAAATACGTCTGGCGCGATGGATTATACTATTTATAACTACTATTTATGTCACACACATTTTACGCATATTTTTCTCGCATTTTCAACAATTAATATCTCGAAAACGAAGCGTCGAACACAATTTCGTCATTTTGGATTTTTATTTTAGTTTTGCAGATAGAATCCACCTTGCAAAAGTGTTCCACATTTTTATTAACACTCTGTAGAATATACACCTGACGATGAATTTGTTTAATAAAATGAATTTGTTTAATATTTATTCTTTTGTTAAAAAAGTATTATGCTATATGCTGATACATAGTGAGGTAAATTAATAAAGTTACGAAACATAATACCTGATAAATGATCTGAACTCTTAAATGAAAAGTGATTTTCATTGAGACAACGTTACAAAGCGTCAAGTCGAATATCACATTTCATAATAGATAGACATTTAACACCATGGGTGAAATTATAGAATATAATAAGGTAGTAATTTTGTGTGCAATTTAAAAAAGGTATTATATATTTAATTTTTAGCAAAATAAAACTGCTAGATATGTAGTAGAGGAATTTTTCGAATCATGCTTTCTAAAATGAATCTATAGACGAATTTTACATAAATTTCCGGATTTTAGTTACGTAATGTCTTACTTTCGTTTCGAGAACAGCGTATAAAAGAGCTACTTCTGATGGCTGCTGGATTTTCATTCCAGTATGTTGCGATACATAATTAAGCAAAGGAAAATGATGCAGCATTACTTTCTCCATTTGATCTGATGATAACACTGTCTTCATCTCAGACAGAAAACTTGGACAGTGTATTCCCAGCAACAAAGTATCATATTCCATGGGTAGGTAATCTACAAGTGCCGAAGAATTTGATAATTAATTCATTACGTATTACATTCTATGGTACAATCTCCATTACGTGAATTTTCAATACCTTTTATGTTTATCATGTTAAAATATTGTTTCATAACAGTAAAATTCTTATTTATGATAATTTTTATTTATGATAATTAGTCTTATCTTACATACTAACAGTTTACGCTTTTATAACACAATTAAACCATTAAGACTACGTAACCGTATATATAATAAATTCCATTATTGATATGAAAAATATATACGTTAAGAGTTCTGATGACATAAGATTAAAAAAAACTAGTGGAAACAGTTTAGGATATAGAACCACTTAAATGTTATCCTATTAAATTAGATGAAAAGATTTTATTAGGTCGTCCCATAAATTCAAACCGATTTTTTAAACTAGTATGTAGATCAATCGTTGATTATGAATAATAATGTTTGTTTAAAAATAATAATTTAATAAGTACCTGTGAGTTCTAAAAGAAAAAATCGAAAGAGACCCTCAGGTCCTGAATCTTTTTTCTATTTTTCTGGTTGAAACCTTGACCCTGTCATATTACAGCTGCCTTAATTTTTCATTAAAATATTCTTTTACGCTGTTTCTTATGATGTCACCATTTTTAATGCAATATTATTAATTGTAAAGTAGTTGATAATTAGAACGTACAACTTTCGAATACATGTTAAGGATTGTAAAATTTGTTTGTTTATATCTATAATTTCAACAGTTTTTAGCTTTTCAGTGTTGTTTGGTTTCTTAATTTTGTTTAATTCATCTCATAATGTGTCAACAATTAGAATAATAATGTTCTTAATCGGTTAAAACTTTTGGGATTACTTAATATATTAGTATTCAGTAACAAGAAGACATAAAATGCGTAAATTAAAAAAAATTGTTTTTTATTAATCTTGTCCTATAAAATTGTCATTTTAAAAAGACTAATTATAAATTTCCCATTATTCGAAAATTGTAGTATTACTAATAATTGTGTATCAATTCGTTAATCATTTAATATACAGGGTGGTATGTGGTACAACTGGGTACGGGATGATTTTAAGCGAAAAAATCAATCGAAAATACAGAATAAAATTGTTTAATATCTGCTGGAGACGCGAGCGATTGAATAGGACTTGCCCAGCGTGTCTGTTTATTGCATTCCGTTTCTACTTACTACCATGAAGAATACACGCCGTTCAAATTAATTTTCAAAATCGCTTATTTCGAAAACGAAATTTTCAATAAAAAAATGTTATTGTATATTTTCGACTTATTTTTTCTTCTAGAATCACCTCCTGTCTGGTTATACCACTAGTTACATGACACCCTGTAGAATAATACTTTTGTTTAAAATTTCCTTATATTTTTACTTGCTTACCTGAAGGTATTGGCTGCCAATTAACATCATTGTTCCATTTCTGAATTTCGGCTGGTGGCCAAAGACCTGCATTCACTAATTGTGAAGACATCATGGACAATGGATATCCCGCTGTTCGTACTTTCACTGTTCTTGTAGTAAAAACATCGCCCAAAAATTCGTCGTACACATCACGTAAATGTACTCCGAGATTATACATGTTGAGTTTACCATTCTGTCAATCAAAATTAATTAAATTCATAATTATATGTTTAACACATTAATACATATAATGATGTTAGTAGCTTAGTGTAGCTGGTGGTACAATTCATTTGGTAGAAATTTAATTTAGTAGTTTGAACATTATTTTTAAAATTTTACATTTTATGTTAACACGTTGACCGTCCACATTATTACACAAATTCTTTAAGTTCATGTAATTAGGGATAGAAATATTTATGCGGTGAACTACATTCTCATTACTTGGAGTATTACTCTATTACTGATTATATTTAAAAGATTATAAATGTTTTAAAAGAAATTAAACGTTTTTTAAACAATCTAATAATAGATCATCCGTAACCACTATAGCAATCAACGTGTTGAATAAATGTTACAACTTGATAACGAAGTCAGAGTGTACCTATATAAAATTTTGTAATTAGGCTAACTTTTCGAATACGTTGACAATATTTGTCAGTTTCAATGTGGAGCACACTGTATACAGTACCTAAACACTGTCTGGATCGTATCATTTAACAAGTCATTGTTTACAGAATGTTATGATGTTTGCTATGTTTCGATATTTTTCATGAAGGGGAATTGCTCAATTAATTTTATTTTCGATGCTAATATTATCTTTTAAATTGATTCTTTATTTGTATATTCCACGGCAATTTGATACTGATTACACTATGGAAGTATGTGTTTTGTATTCATTATTATTACACAACAGTGAAAAGGTACTATTTTATATATAAATATATTATATATAATTTGTGTCTAATTTATATTTACATAATTATAATTATATTCAGTTTTCGAGTAACGAATGTTTTTTGAAAGAATTATTAGTTTAAAAGAAACACTTGAGAACATAACATGTAAATTATGCAACGCCTTCGTTGTCAATACAATCTACTGAATGTGAAATACGTAAAAATAATCCAAGATTTAAATTGTCGACGAAGAGGATATTGTTTTGTTTTTTCTTGTTGAACGAAATGATGACAAAGCTGAAGAAATAATCGTTAGGTGCCGTTCAAATATTTACTTGTGTTATTATGCGATCTTCCATGTAATCAACATCCATGTTCCAATATCACTTTATTTTTAATCGTTTTATATTACGGATGAAAGATTAAACATTCGTAAAGTCTATTGCCACCTAGCGTATCGATGGCAATATACATATACACTCGTTGGTGTGAGAAGATCAGTTTCATTGTTTACATATAACACACGAAATTCGATATGAAATATTAGTTTCATTAAAAAAATTTGAAAACTTACATTGGGCATGTCGATCGGAGCGGTGTCGAAGTGTTTGTAAGTTAATCTGGTGGGGAAATTTGTGTCGTTGCTGTTTATTATGTCCGAAATTGGAGCGTAGGTTTTATGGGCAAAGACCTGTAAATTTTTTATAAATATTCTTACCTGATTCCAAAATCTCCTTGTTTTTTTAAAATATGAACAAAATTCGAAAACTTTAAAAGTGACGAAAAACATTCGGAATAGATCGAAAGATTTCGATACTTGAACAAATATATCTGACAATTGATGGTTTCTTACGATTTGCAGGAATTGCAGTTCTGGAATGGCATGGATCGAGGTCATTGAGACACATAATAAGCTCAGTATGATAGCTTTCATTTTTATTTGCACAGACTATTTGATATCTTCCTTCTTATTTTATGAAACACCTAAAAACAATCCAATCTCGATTAAAATTTCACTAAGCATGTTTCAATGTTGTGTCTTTAATTTAACCTTATGTATTCTGGCGGTACCTTGTAGTGTCACTAATATTAAAATGATATCATAAATCAATATGCTCATAAAGCGGCTAGGACTTATAAGTATATGTATATTACTTCATTGAAGTCTTTTAGGATACTATGAAATGGTGCTCAGACATCATATTTAGTTATTTGAGTAGAAATAAACGTTATTGGTCATACACAGGGTATCCAATAAAGTTGAACTTCGTAATCAGTATGTTGAGTAAGGTGAAGAAGGTAAGTGACGGAACTTTTTACAACTTCAGGTATCACAGAGGTTTATTGAACCATTTATCAGTCTGTTGCTAATTTTACGATCCATTATGCAGGATTACTGTCTTAAAAATAAATGATAACTAACTATTGTTTGTGGACAATAAAACAGTATCAATCGACATTTAAGCTACGTTTTAAAGAGATTTGATTGTTTAAAAATTTCCAACCACTACTAGATATCGGTTACGTTACCTTACAGTTTTTAGTTGGGATTGAGTGAAAGTGTTAACTCTTTAAGTGGTTATTTCGCAAAGGTATATGCGATAAGAAGAAATTCAATAAACAGCGGGAATGACTGACATATTGGCACTATGAAATATTTTGTAAAATATCTTTTGAAAAATAAAGACTTATTGAATTCCTTTAATTTCTTTAGAATATCAGTGTTCAAAATGTATTATTGTACTTCTGTTTTTTGTAATGTGTAAAATTGTTTTCAAGTATTACTTATGGCGTACATACATATATTCTTGTTACTGTGGACTGCACTTTCAACGATGAATCATAATGTTTAGTGGATTAATGTTGTTTCCTTACGGTCCCTGAAGAATAATTGTAAAATCAAATCTATACACAGAAACTTTTATCTTGCTTTTGACGAAATGGGTACTTTGACAAACGCTCTTCATGGTATGTAACAGTAATGTTACTGTTCGAGTACCACCTGTCACTTGAAATAGTTATCCTTACTATCTATAATTTTATGAATACTTTTTTTTAGAGAACGTTAATTATTCCGACAACAAAATAAGATAAAGCGGCAATATTTACTTAAATGCGACTGCCATTACTAGACTGTGGATTTTATGCATTTATAGCACACACGATTTTCTAGAATTCACTGTACATAAGAGTTCGATCAATTCTGAAGAAGTTTTTATTTTGTTTGGAACCTGGTAGAATAGCAAATAAAGTAAATAGATCTTGGTTTGACTCTAGTTCCGGTAAATTAACCCCTAAAAATTTATATTTGCATAAACGTCGGCAGTCTAGCCATTACCTTTCCACACCCCTAATAATGTATGCTATGAGCTAATTAACAGCAGCTATATAATAATTTTTAAAGTTTTCTCGTAAAATCTGTCATTTCATAATTGTACACAAATGAGTTAATAAAATACTTTAGACTTTTCACTTTAATAGTGTAAGTTATTAAACGAACACTTACGCGTTACCGTTATAATATCTGCTAGTACATTCACTTACTGTCAGTAGACAGATTGTAAACAGATGGGAAAATAAAAAAAGAACATGACAGTACACTCTACGTGCCAGGAATATTCCATCGCGAAAGTATAGATACACGTAAAATAAATATTATCCGGCGGCAATTATTAGTTCAATACAACTCAGTGGCGCCAGATGCGAGCGGGTTAACTTTCGTTTAGAAATGTCACTTCAATTACTTAGTCGAGAAACGTTCGTCGACCGGAAAGTATCTATCGGCTGCTAATAAAAAAAAAACTGATTAAATTTCTGTCATAAAACTTTTTCTACGCTCACCTGTTACGTTTTCGGGCGCGGCGTGTATTTACTTCTGTGGCGGTTACAGAATCACCTGAATACGCTTTATGACCGCAGCTATTCACTCAGTCACCTTGCAATTATTCGCTCGGCGACGTTTTTCTGTTCACGGCAGTTTTCAGCTGCTCCCCCGGAACGAAAGGAATACAATATAACAACGAAGGCGACACACTTGTTCCAACTTCCCAGGTAACTGCATAACACCGTTGTCGTCTGCTCCTTTGGCTGCTGGCAGCGATCGAAGATAAAGTGTCTCGACGCGTCTCTCTCCACGTGCTCGTCTATCAGTCGTGTTTAATTTAATCGGCAACCTTCGCGTGAAATCGGCGTCTTTATCAAAATCAGCGATCTGCCGGGAGCTTTGTGCAACTGCTCGGCAATCAGTTTGTCTTCGCGGCAAAACTTTGTAATCTAAAAGATCGCAGATCTTATAAAATGGTTCCTCGACGCGGTTCCGGTGGAGATTGTTTGGACTGACGACGACGCGATCCACGACACCGCCACGGATTTAGTGGAGACAGCGTGATCAAAAGTAAGATGTCATCTTGCAATTAGTCGCTCGTTGCTTCCTTCGTGTGACAACCCTTTGAAACGTTGCATCGTCATCCCCGGCGATTCTATTAGTTTGTCAATGAGCAGATTTCCGTTAATTACAATTTTATTATCGAAATTTTCAATTAATAATAATCAGACGTACAACAATAGTTTTCGATATCAGAAGAAGAAATAACCAATTTTTAGTTGAAAGGGTTTTTAAGAATATTTTAGTTGTAATTAAATTGAAATATTAGGTGAGTGCAAAAGTTTTGGTGGGTTTCGCATTAAAAAAGTAGGCTAATAACAATTTTAATTACAATTTAATAAATATTTAATAAAACACATAATGTTTTTTATAACATAATTTCAATAGCAATTTTTATTCTAATAAAGAAATTTTTGGAATATTATTATTATTGAATTTATATAATAAATTTACAGTTTACTACAGAATGGGATTGGTATAAGAGCTTCCTCTAATATGTCACAAATGTTCTTTATGGTGTTTGTAACGTTTATTCCTTTCATTTTGAAACTTTGTTCAAAAGTTCATTTTCAGTGGTATTTTAGACAATAAAACACACTGAATCGCGTCAATTTTTGTTCTAAACTACAATTTACTGTATTACAGTGACTGAAAATCCATGAAAATTTTTGCTTTCACTAAATAATTAAAGAATCATTAACTGTTGCTATGATGAACCCGGCATCCTTAGATCGTTTGTTTTCAGTAACATTTTATTTCGCATGGTATTAAAATAAATCGTTAATTCAGATTGCAAAAGGATTCCAATTTGTTTTATGCATAATCATGACCGTTATATCATATTTCCAAAGGAAAAGTAAAAATTTCTTATTACCTTTTAGCATCTAGGAATCATTTTCAATATGTCATATTATGTGAAATTTCTGTTCTAATGTTTTTTATCCCATATTTTATTTGTGATTTATCATTTCTTGGTTGTTACTTTTATTATTTCACTCTGTCACACTGAAATTTTGTCGCATATTAATTATTTATTTAATCTGTGAAAGCGTAATGAATAGACGACTTAATACCACATATGCAGAGGAAATAAATTAAGATTTAACTTTTTACGAAAAATACTTAACAGATACTATTTAAAAACATATTGGTGAGATAAATCTTTTATGGATCTGCGTTTAAAAATAATTTTTATCAATCGTACGACTATAATCTCCCCAATTTAATAATATATGATAAAATTTCACAAGATGTATAACGTGATAAGTTCTATTAACTTTGAATTAAACACACATTATTTATGAATGATTCCCAAAAGATCTCGGAATAATTAATTTAAACGACGTAATTTTGTATAATTGTCTGCATTTAAATGTAAATCGGGATATTTGAATGCGAATTAATATACATAATGAACAGATTCTGGATTTTATATATTCATAACATGTGCAGATGCTTTTCTCTCTCTATTATGTAGTTATGGTCACATCAACCACTTGTTTGGGTAATTAGCGAGGCTAATACTAACACGCTTCGATGAATTCACAATTGACGGTATAATTTGATATGCTTTAGGTAGTTTAGTAGTCCTTGAATTGTTTGTATATCCTTTAAATTATCCTCAATGTTGTGTTTAATGTTAAATTGCTGTCTGTAGATGGAACAAAAACATAATAGAAAGCATTTCACGCTAGGTCAACTATATTTTTAATTGTTTCAAATCCAATGAAATCGAATACGCACGAAATAAATTCCTGCTTTTTTATTTATTTTTATAAATTTTTTTGTGAAGAAATGAACTTATTTGAACGTTCACAGTGTAATAGTGAACGAAAAATTTGTATTTTTCACATATATACACGAGTGTAAAAATTGCAGAGAGTCAGAATATTTTTAAAAATCAAAAACAAATATAGGCTTCTACTAGTAGTATTTAAAGAAACACATGCGTGAATGATCTATATATAGGTTGTATCATACCGATCCTATTTAATCTCTTAGGTATGTAGTGTGCTTAATAAATCGTAACGTAATCCCGACATTCTTGCCTATTTTTAACATTTTTTCACATGGACATGCGTTTTTGAGAAAAGTGAACTTGAAAATTTATAGTGCCAACGTGTCTGTCTATTATTTACTACTGTTAGTTGCACTAAACGTCAATGATAGTATAGTATGTATATTAACTATTTTTCATCACTCTTACTATATCCTATTTATTAATTTGTACAAAACTATTCAGAAAAATGAATAACATTATACTACGGTTAGTATATATGTACGTTGCTACCAATGTAAATAATCGGTGATTATGACAGACTGCTGATTTTCTAAACATAAGTTTCTTGAAAATGTAAATTCTTGTAAAAAACATTACTGTACATTTTGATTCTACCACTTCCCTTTAAGTGTAACACGATTCGGTATCTTGTGTATTTATTTAAATCGCAAAACTATTATGACAAGTATGATATATGTATAATGCTTACCGTTAGATTGTTAAAAAAATTTGAATATATCTGAATAATATGTATGTGTATATGTGAATATTTTAATATAAATAACATTTGTGTACTAGATGTATGCTGATAATAGTATGAGTAACACCTTTCTCGGAAAATCGTACAACAACTGGAAATTTATATTAAAAAGTATATAACCTGATCGATTAGAAAGAGAGATAAATCATATCGTAGCCGATGAATCGTTCTGGGAATTGACATTTTTTTTTTATCATTAGACATACTTCAAAATAAATCATTATTCGTTTACGCTTTTAGATCTAGCATGATTCACTTTAAGTGATTGCGATATTTTCAGTTAATCGTGCATTTATTTCACATCTACTAACTTAGAAATCGAAAAATATGGCATACCTCCTTAACCGTTCGCTTAACGATCTTTCAGTGAGTTCAGTGAGTTCCATTAGCTGATTAGTTTTTATCTGTAATTTAGAAACACACTGAATATTTTATAAAGAAGAATCCAGAGTGTTAATTAAAATTTCAAATTTTGACTATTTTTGGAAGCCTTGATCCATTGAGTGGATTTCTCTCTTCGAAATTATTGATCGTATAGACACGATTTTTTATTTTTACTTGTGACGGTTTAAAATTTCTGAATAATTTTTTTACTGAAACGAGAAATTAGGTTTACATAGTAATGTTACAATAATTTGTATCAGCTGATTCTTTGTCGTTCATTCTCGGTAATGTCTCATTTCCTGACCCGAATTTGTAACTTTCATGTACATGCGCGCTTGTATTTTTTCCAATTTATTAACAGTTTACATTGCCTTTGACATTAATGTCGAAGAATATTTTTCTACGATAACAAAATATTTCTAACTCGAATGTAAGTTTTTAATAATTTTCCAAATTCGATACTTATTTGTTCCTCATGTTGTGTAATTTCTATAAAAATGTATACATTCAGGTTATATTTGTATAAACAACCGCAGTCTAAAGCTGGATCCACACTATAATAAAACATTGTTATAAACAAAATTTTTTGTAATTTTGTTGTAAAATATATTTTTATAACTTGTTACTAGATTCTATCTTTTATATTGTATAAAGTTTGTAGAACATGTTGCATCTCATTATTAATAATGACGTCAAAGGTTTACGGTATAATTCTGGTAGCATGTTTCTGATTTCTATCTTTGAAGTTCGTAGATCTTACAATACACGTTTTTCTCGAAACAGTTCACTTGAACGAGTGGTCATTTCTTTGTTTCATTTAATATTATAATAATTATAAAAAACAACATTTAATGAAACAGTAATAAGAAATGCTTTGTATTGTCCAGCCAGACTGAGGTGATGAATCACTTGCATACGGAAAATGGCAAGCTTTTTCCAACTGCTTTAAACTGGTTTGAACTGACTGGCAACATGCTGTATAACAATGTCTTCTAACTTTTTTTGATTTTTATCTTTTCCTCCTCTTTTTAGCAAGTTTTATAACCGTGGTTTATAAAATTGCTTTGTTATATTTTTTGTTTGGTTTAAGTGTATACGCGCTATTACAACTCTTATTGAAAATGCGAAAAAATGTTTCATATGAAAGTTGTTTGTTTTCATGGAGTAAACTTAATAGATTACTTGAATTTTTTTTAGTTGTTGTTTACAGAGATTTTAATAACAATGAAATTTTTTAAAATGGAACTACATACTTTTATTATTACCGTGTTATTAAGCACTCCAAGACAAATACAAGATATATTTGAAAGTTCTGTTTAAACAATAATTTCTCGGATAACTATATGACTATTGTTGGCAAATGATAGGCTCAGTGAAAAGGGGCATACGTCACATCATTGGTTTTCAAATTTTTGTACAATGAACAAGCTCTCACCTTATTTTTCTTAAAAGTAGTTGTTATGTAAAATTGTATTGTAACATGTGCCCCTCTTTCAATAAGCCCCTTAAAAGTCAACTTTAGTTACCGTCTTTTACTCGTAACGTGTGATCCGTGAGATAAGAAACGATGAAATTGCCACCAATATTCACACTGTTATCCGAGAAATTATCACTCTAATAAATCTTTCAAATACATATGTCGTTAAATTTGTTCTGAAATGCTTAACCCCTTACCGCACACACTGGAATTAACTCCAGCAAGCGGAATTACGTTGCCAAAAAGCATGTGCTAAAGGGTTAATAACATGGCATTAATAAAAATATGTAGTTCCATTTAAAAAGTTACATTGTTATTAAAATTTTTGTAAATAAAGATTACAAAAAATCCATCTATTCTATTAAATTCACGCCATGAAAATAAATAACTTTCATATGAAACAATTTTTCGTATTTTCATTAGAGTGTAATTATCATAACAGTAATACTGTGTATACATTTAAACCAGAACTACTGTATAGTGTGGACCTGGCTTAAAAATGACAGAAACGGTGATTAATTTCTGAATTTCATCCCTGATAATCTTATACATATGCATTCTTCTACTGAAATAATGTTTTTGTGGGACAATATCACATTTCCTCATAATATCACATTTACCATACATGATAGTTCAATTTTTTTCCCCATATTTTTTTGAAATGCTTTGTACAAAATGATATATACATTTCGTTGTATGTCAACAGTCACTTTGAATGCTGTCATTTTGTATCGACGTTGATCAATATTGATTAATACTCGAGAACATACACTTCAATTTGGGACTTTGTCAATATTACATGTATCAATAATTTGAAAATGCTGTTATGTTAAACTAAGAATTCATTAGAATATTAGTAAATATGTGCAATAATTTGAAGTGTATACATCCTCAACCCTAGTCGCCTCGCGAAGTCAGTTAATGATCTCTCTAAACTGTTTGAATTTAGGAAAAATGAATGTCGGATTGCTATGAAATGAAACGATCTTATGTTTTTTTTCCCATTAAGGGTAAATTTTTGGTGCAAACGCAGTGAAAAGACGGCATCCTTAGGATTTTTATAAAAGAAAACTATAATACATAGAGGAAACACTTAGTTTGGGATTTATTAATATGTACTTCAAGACATGAAACAAATTTTTTGATGTTATTTTGTTTAATATATACTGCAAAAATCAGCAATGACTGTGACGTTATAAAAAACGGATGCCCATCATCTGAAATCAAGAAACCAAAGTTCTCCTTAATACTTATATGGATGGTTATCGTATCAAGCAGATTCAGAAGTTTTGGTTAACAAATACACTTTTTATTTAACATTTCTTAATGAAAAACACTACCAATCAGCGAATTTTCATTATTCTTCAATAAAGGTGTTTGATACGATATTCAATCCTATAAATTTTAAGAAACACTTTTAATATCACAGTCATTGATGGTTTTTGCAGTATATATTAAACAAAATAACATACAAAGAATTATTTTTATATTTTAAAATGTATATTAATAAACCTCAGACTGATTGTTTTCCTGTATGTTGTAGTTTTCTTTTATAAAAATCCTAAAGGAGCCGTTTTTCGACAGCGTTTACACCACAATATACCCATCATGAAGATTCACTAGTGTGTTCAGCATTCATTTTAGCAGCATCTTGTCGAAATGTTACACTAAATACGGTGGGCTGTTAACTTGGTTTCCAAGGCCACCGTAGCTTATCTTTATATCACAGGTTATCATGTACATCATTTTACCTTTCGACAACCTGCTTTCTGTGAACCTGTTTCACGTGTATCAGTAGAATGCACGCTAACAGCATGCAGATACGACGGGAACCTTATCATTTACAAATTTTGCAGCTTTGAGGCTTACTCTGCTTACGTGATTAAATACGGTGCCACGTGACAAGCATGGTCGATGAGTTCTTAGAATAAACGGGTAATTACCCGTTCTCGTTACTTACGAATTATCGTTTCCTGACGTAGGTATTCATACGCCAGGGTGAATGTATTATTGTTATCTCCTCGGAAATTCGACGTTGCACGAGAAGTTCATCGATTCCGTTCGACGAAAGATAATGCACACTGTTTACCAAACATTGTTATCGTACTTTCAAAAATTATATTTTTAGTCGTGAAAGTTATTTTTTCCTTTCACTTGCGATTGTTATCGACTACCTGTACGTTGTGATTCGAAGACTGTGATCATAAAGTTTGAAAAACGTTTACAATCAACAAGTATAATTGGTAATGTAAAATTTCAACAAATTCAACTTGACACATTTATTTAATACAAAAAGATTTCAAGTGTGTACCGATAACACTCGCACAGCAAAAAAATTCGTACCAAAAAAATACAAACCATGTGAAACAATATCTTATTCAATAAAATACTGTTATCTGATGGATACCAAAAAGCAATACAAAAGTTGAGATTCCATTACAAAAAATAAGAAAAAAAACTTACGGTTTAAAGATTTTTAATTTTTAAAAATTCGTTACATTAGAAGGTTGTCTTAATTAGAATCGCTTCTGACTTGCAACATTTTCAAATTGTTCCTGATTCAATACAGTAGTTAATTATTGTTAAAAAATAAAACATCATTACAAAACTGTTACAATTATATGTTAAGAAGTTTAAAAAAATCTATAGTTGTCCTTGTAGTGTGATTAAGAAAATGATGGTTTGTACGTGACAATCTAAGTAAGTTGGAAATCTTGAATAACAGAAAATATTATTTACGGACCATTATACTTAATTTCATTTCGTCAATACTTTTTCTTCAGACATCTTCTAAATGAAATTTGATCGAAGGCTCCTAATTCCTTTACGATTGTCCTTCACGCGCATGTTGAATGGTAGTACAGGTGCATCGCGAATTGCTCAACACATAATTGTTGAGATAATACGTTTAGTTATGGTTGATACGTAGATACGTTATCAACAAAACAGGCACATTTAAATGTATAGTACGTTTTACTTTCTGTAGATAAAAGTACCTTTTTCATGTTACGTGTACAATGTTTGGAGCAGTCACATTCCGTACGCGGTTTGGGATGGTTATTGGTGAATAGACAATAAGTCATCGTCGAAACTCGTAGTAAACGTTGCAAAGGATGTATTGTTATTAATATTGTATTTGTTCACATTCGATACTCCATCGTGTTGTGGTTCAAATTGAATTGGAAACTGCATTTTGGGTAAGAGATAAATAAACACATTATAATGTTGCTTACCGAATCAGAGTCTTTGGTGCGTCTTTCGCTTCCCATCGAAAACTATAAATTTTATTAGGATTCTTGAAATAGTCTTTTATCGGATCAAACAGAAATAAGAGAAACTAGATAAAAATATTAAATAAAAATAAAAGGAATTAAACTGAAATAATTGAACATAAGAAACAATATGTTTTCCATTAGACTATTTGTTAGTCATTAAAAGGAATTCGTAGCTACTCTGTAGGATATTAAAATTTTAGCGTGACTACGTGAAGAAAGCAATATTTGAATAATATTTTCCCATGCTGTGCTTTTTCAATTTACTTTTTCATTCTGCGATGTAATTGGTTTTTTCTGTACAAGAAAGTGTTTTTGCCTACAAATCGTCGTATAAGCTTGAATAATAATTTTCTACTTCCTAGTATTCAATATCTGCTACTTACAAGTTATTGAATAAAATTAGACTGTATGCAATGAATATAAGTAAACAAATTTCTGACTGTTCATCACTCACTTCTTCTACATTGTGATAAAGAACAAAAACACAACGATAAGAAGAGTATCTAGAGATCATGGTTTCGAACGTGTATTAAAAACACACATGTACACGTGTATTTCACGTACACGTACCGTGTCATTTTAAGTACATGGGTACACGTATACTATTTCACGCACGTTTAAATACATGTATACATATGTATTTAGTTACCTGTGCATTAATGCATCCTTATTTAATTCATGCAATTTTTAGAACGTTGATATTAATTTATGGGTCAAGGCTATGGTTTCATAAGCTTCAAGGTTGTTGATACAAAAACAAATTATAACATCACTTTTATTAACAAAATTTGTTGAATAAATTATGTTTTGATACAAGTAAACTAATATATTTACATTTTTGAGTAATAATTGACTTCTTCTGGAGCTAGCTATATTCCCAGCAATTGAAAAGCATTTTTCGGAAGCAACTGATGTTGCTGATATGTTTAAATGCTTCATTGCGAGTTCTGCAATTCTCGGATATTTAGTTTTCAAATTTATTTTTAGATTTATCTTGTATAACCATATTTTGTTTTTGAAAATCAGTAACTGTATCCTAAAAATTAAGACGAATCAAAATGCAGATATGTTAATACACGTGTATTTAAATATATATGTGAAATAGTATACGTGAATGTAAAAATACATGAAATAATACACTTGAAATAAGGATCCCTAAGATTATCCGATATTGATTATTAATTGTCTTGATTATGGATTATTTTGATCACTAATTGTATTAAGCTTCAAAAATACTTCTGGCTACAAGTTTGGAAGCATGTGTTGTTTTCCATTAAAATTGTACGGTAAAATTACTTTCAGCAATTATTGTATTATTTAAAGTGACCAGATATTTTCGGTTGCAATGCGGGACATGTCCAAAAAAAAATGTCACATTTTGAAAGCACCATTCGCTTAGTTTATTTAATTATGTGTAATTAAAATGCATTGGATCCATCTTTTTATATGTTTATTAATATAAAATGTACAAACAAAAGTATACTTCTGATAAATTAATTCAAAATAAACTCTAAATAATTCTAACTAAATGGAAAATAACAGTCTCAGTATTAAAAATAACTATACATATACTACATCTACATTACTTGAAATATTCTTATAAAATTCTTTACAGGAATTAGAAAAATTGTACTTAATTTGTAGCATTGCTTTCAACGTTACTACACTCAGCTGTGTTTTTTCTGAGGTCCAAATCTGATTTACCATTAGAAAAACTTTTTCCGTTGCACCATAGGTTCCTGGCAAACATAATGCAAATCCAATTCATTTATTATAAACATTAACAGTCACTTTGTGCCACTGCAAAAATGTTAAAACACTTACATATCCAATCTGGGACACTTTCCGGGACAGTTTTCAATGCGGGACAAACAACTCAATCCGGAACGTCTAGTCACCTTAGTATTATTGTAACTCTGAATTCTGTTTAATAGGTTCAATTATTTGCAATTTATTTTAACCTCCACGAATATGTGTTACTTCTTACTTACTCTTGTAATTTTTCTCCATTTAACTGCTATTTATAAAATTTGTTATTTGCAACATTTAAAACGATAAGGTAAAACGACCTGGAGAAGCGTAAAAGTACAGTGGCGGAACGTCGCGGACAGTTGAAGAAAACGTGTTAAGAAGAAACTTTTTAATTATTTTAATTCATAGAACAATTTCAGGTAATCAGATTTCAGGTAAATCGATTTCAATGACCTTGAAATATGTTGTAAAGGTTATCATTCTGAACAACTCATCCCTAGACACGTTATCGCGGCTCGGCTTTATAGCATATTTGGAATACTATTGGTAATTTGGAATACCGAAGTGTCTAACAAACTTCTAAGGTCATCTAATTTATAGTAGCGTAAATAATAGGGGCGAATGGCCTCTTGACCAATGAGATTCGTGGGCGAAGCGTAATTTAAACATTTTCGACTCGATTTGCAGTGGAGTAGAACGTCAATTTACAAAAGTTTTTCAACAAGTACACAATCGTTGTAATCATGGTTAAAATAAGTCAAAACTTTAGGGTAAATCATTTAATCTATTTATTTGCAAATTAATAGATTATATATAGAATTATAATAGAATTATGTTTTAATGCTATGTTACTAATTCGAAATACCGATTAGTGCAAGTAAATTTTAAGACTTACAATTGATATTTATGTAAGATCATTGTTCCTATACTGTGATTTCTGTGTATGTTTATTATCTATTCTTTTTTTCAGTTCTGTAAAGTAAAGATAAATTGGAATGCCGTCATTCCAAATTACCTGCACTGTAACAAAATCTTTACTTTACGTAATTTTTCAATGAGCGTAAAGTTTCAGTTACGTTTTGTTTTTCATTACTAATGAGAATTTGAAACGTAAAAGTTTATTAGTTTCCTAATGATCTTATGCAGTTTCATTCATTTCCATTCTTTGCCGTAACTTTGTTATTCCTCTTAAACCACCTGATATTCCAAATATGCTGCACTTTTACTAACATTTTGAAAATACACAACACTTGCACTGTTTGTATATCCAAATTCTTTACCCATAAATCCCTAATGTGAAAAACACTTTATACACCTTCAAACCAGATGTCCTCCCAAACATTCCATTCTTATCCTACGTACACTTGAAAAGTTTCGAACTGTATGACACGTATACGTCAGAGCAACTACATACTTTTCTCATCCCGGACGTGATTTTCTCTCGTACAATTTCTACTACGGTAGCGTGTTTGTACACATTTGCTCGGCTATATTCAAATAGACCCCTACAGAACCATGAAAGCCCGAAAACGTGTTGTTCGCTTGAAGATTAACGATTCGAAAGGTGAAAAATGGCCTGTTCGTGTATCGAGTGATAATTACATCAGAATGATAATATATTGTTCACCATTATCTATTATCCGCCGAGTTTATGTAACCGCGAGCTTGCTTCCGCAAAATCGCAAAGTTTTCGTATAAATTCTCGGCTTATCTTTAGGTAATCTTGTGCAAGGTAAAAATCACTTGCGTAGAACTGTAAATTTTATGGTTTGTCTAACGATGCGGCTGTAGTTAAACGATTTTGTTCGTCCTGAAGCTTATAAAGAACCACGCGCGGTGGTCGTCCTATGTCCATCTCCGCGATCGTTCGATAATTCGGTACGTCTATTATTGGATAATAATTTGTGAACGATAATTATTTCATCTCGAATATTAGGTGAGTTTATAGTGGATAATAATTTGAAAACGAGGTCTGTCATGTGTCATGTTACTCCTTTCCTTTCTGAAATTGCAATGAACGTGTTACCAACGACGGTTTGCTAGAATAAAAGCGAAGTGGACAAAAATAATAACTAGACTGCGGATGATGTGCAAAATTGGACAAAATTTTGTTTCTTATACTAAGAGTTTTAATATGTTAATAATGATAGCTGAATGCTATTAAATTTTATTAGAAACTATTTTTTACTGCGTTCTGTATTTCAGGAGACGTTATAAATGCACGAATATCCGCAATCTATTGATAACTTGATAATTTAAGTGTATATTATTTTCCATGTATACTTACAACAATTTTTAATCAAAGTGCTAATCTCGTTATTTATAATGGTCACTATATTTGTTTGTTAGAATGTCACTAATGTAAATTGTATCGTACACTTTGAAGTTTTCATATTCCTTCTATCTACACTTATCTCTTTCGGAAATATAAGTCGCTTCATGCAACTTAAAACAGGGTGGTTTACCTCACGTCGCCATCTCAATTACTCGTAAATTATTAGCTGTATGAACAAATATTTTAAACAACAGTTGTATGGTATCAAAGGGGACGTAGAATGCAATAATGTTTTTTACTGGGTTACATTTTTATCAAGACATACCGGTGATCTTCAGTTTTTTAAACGGAATCTCTATCTCATCTCGAATTTCGATAAAGTGTCAAATACTGCATAAAAAAGTATTATATCGTATAGGGTTTAAAATGAACAGTTTCTGAGATACCAGTACATTTTTTTAACATGTTGATGAGATTCATCTGCTTAAAGTGAGACCAAACATGACATAATGTGGACAATGTTTCTTTATTGATATTAATACAGAATAAGTAACGAGTTATTGAGGAGCTCATTTAGGTGAACCATTCTGTATGTGCAGATTTATAGTTGCCAGTTTAGGTATATATTTAAATGTAGGAATCACACAGGAACGCGTGTTTAGAATAAAAATGGTACGAAATAACTAAATAAACAATTAATTTATATTACTTAACCATTTAAATTTATGTAACCACAGATATAGTATTAAATATGTCACGTCGGTATCATTAAATATAATGCGATGAAAATTTTAAAACGAACAATAATTACACATATAATAATTGTTCTATTACTTTTTTTTAACTTTTTTACCTTACTGCTTTGCCAATTGTAATATCAACATGTAATTACAAATTACCGTTCTTCCTATTATTTGTATGCAATAGTAATGCCTGTTTATTGTCAAAAATTTATGTCAATATTGAATAATCACTGCACCATCTATTACTGTTAACAATTGCCGTCACTTTCTATAACTTTTGCCATCTATTCTGACAAAAGTTGGATTTCCCGTCGATAAAATAAAATAAAACTACAATACAAATTTAAATGCGACCATCATTACTTTTATGTATAACTAATAAATTATGAAAATCGATAAAAAATTGATGATAAGTATAGTTCTATTTTCATTTCTCCATTCATTCTATTCTTAAACTTATCAATTTTTCGTAAAATAAGAATTCAAATAATTAATTATTTGTCAACCGTCCCGTAATTTAAAAAGTAACGAATTACCACAACATAATTTATCCGCAGAACTAAATAATGAATCACTGCGGTTACTATTGCGCGTACAATTTTCCTTTCATTTAGTGTACATATGTATACATATATTATATTCAGCCGAATATATATTGATTGCATAAATAAAACAATGATTTCTAACTATGTAAAATTATAAATTCACTCCGAATGAGTGTTTCACAGTTAACCGATTGAAAATGTAAATGATACTGAATAAATATAAATAATAATATATAATAAATATAAATATTTTATATTAATTTAATATATAATTATTAATATATAATAAATATAATAAATATAATAAATATAATAAATATAAATATTTTTCATTGTGTTAAATTAAATTATTCATTTTGTACTATGAGACTCTTCTAACTGTTTAGATTAAAATAAAGATATATGAACTAACATATTGAAATGCACAAATATATGTGTATTCATGAATTTCATGACTCTAAGCATGTAATATTTTGAAATATACATGTATAGGGTGGTTATTAGTTTCAAGCGTTTTTCTTGTATTTATTGTCTTAAATATGTTACTTGTAATTTCTGTCACTTTATAGCTCGAATTTTTTCGTGACTATAAAAAAGTGTATGTAACGTGATACCAACAAATGTCAATCTCTAAATACCGTTATGTATAGAACACGATGTGTAAAAATTAAATTAAACCAAAATAATATCGATACGTCGGTATCTGACTCCAAAGTCACACGGGGCTATAGAGGGTTAAGTATATATTGTTGACGTATTACGTAGATTCATTATATTCTTACTGTTTAGATTAAAAATATCTGTGCGATTTATGTATATAAAAAGATTTTAGTTATTTACGAATTACAAAAAAAGTTTGAAGTACCCAATGAATTCTGAATTTCAGTTTTAGTTTCAGTATAAATTATAATCACACGAGCTTTCAGATTATCCGTCACAAGTGTAACGTCCATTGTAGTATCCGCTGACGATGATGATGTAATACCAGGAAACATTGCAAAATGATACCAACGAATATTGACCGGATAGCATAGACGGCTCATTAATTATGATCCGTCATTAGAACGAATTAAAAGAATAATGATAAAAATAAACGTTATAAGTAAACATAAATGATTAAGGTAAACTTTTAATTCATTACGATGAATTAAATGCAAAATTATTAAAATAAACATATAGATATTTAATAAAAAAAGTAGAAGTGTCTCTTTTATAATATACAGGGTGAATTATTTAAATCGATACTCACGAATGTCTTCGAAATCATTGATGATATCGAAAAATTTTCCAGATAGAAATTGAATGTTTTTGAGTGCAAAACAATTTGGTGTGGGTAATTTTTTTTATAGGTAATCGCGTAGAGAACATATGAAGGTCAAATTGGTTTTTTTATAGTTCATAGAAATGTTAATTTAAAAATTTAAACAAATGTTTTACTCCTTTATGAATTGTAAATTCTGGTCGCATAAAAAAAAAATAAAGTCAATAAAATGTTTCGTAGGCGTTTTGCTCGCGATTAAATCGATATGGAGTCAACTTGATACATACGTGTCCTTCTATGATTGATTGTTTCTACCTGGTTAGTATTTTTAAATACTGTCAATCATATAGTATCATTTATTTTCTTCAATAATCTCACCTAAAATGATAAGTATTATATGTAGATAATGTAGAATAGAATGAATCGATCAAAAAACAGATCTGTTAGCGTCAAGTTGACGCCGTCAACGCTGTTTTGCCTTCAAAGGATTTATGATAGGGACTTAAACTGCGTCACGATGAGGGGCCATCTTTATACTTTTTTTATTCGGGGTGTTTTATTCATAGCGTCGATGATATTTTCATCTTTTATTTGTATCTTTTATCCGAAGACTTTGAATAAATCTTCAAATAACTTTGGCCAGTCAGCCAGCTCGGAAAAACGTGCTGGCGAGCGTCGAGCGTCGAACGTCAAAGGCCAGCGACCGACAGACGGCATACAATGTAAACAGACAAAGACGAGATAAGGAATCACGCACAAATAAAAATTTAAACTATTATAATTTTCAATATATATTAATGAAAGTGTCACGAATGAACTGAGGAGATTCTGCCAGTGGAAATGAGTCCAAATACGACATCATTCGGACTATTTTCAATAATATATCATTTTTATCCGCAATATTACGTATGAGTAAAAATTGTTCAACTGCACTCGAATTTGGACGCATTTTCATCAGGAGAATCTCTTCAAATATTCAAAGTCGATTTTCTCTAAAACGAACTTCTTAACAAAACTTCTTAACAGATCTTTTAAACAAGTTTTATTCTTTATTTTCAATTTATTTTTTCATGGAGAATTACATTTTGCTCGATAGCACTACACTTCGCAGGATACTTTATACATATAACGCTTTATGTGAAGTATTTTCTCACAAAACGAATAATTTACGTGTGACTTGAACCCTCTGGGTTGATTGACTCACTCGGTGTCTTAATGGACGATGGGGTAAGAAGAAGATTGAAAATGACCTAATGGGAAATTTTGTTCTACGTGAAATGTTTCAAATACCTGTAATAGTGTGATCGATTTTACAGAAATGTCGTCACGCTGTACGTCACAGTCTAAAAAACCATCGTATGGTTTTCCTTATGGTCGTGCACATATCTAGATGATGAAAGCCGATGGGTATGGGAAACAGGGAGTCCCATTCTGTATTTTACCGGGTACTGTAACGAGACCGAAATCAACGATTAGTAAACCTTTCCACGAAAAGACACGCTCGCCTGACGTGTTACAGTCCTTTAAAATCATTTGCAGGTAGCCAACAAGAACAGTGTTTCGATCGGCGTCGTTAACAAAACTTCGGTCATTACGAAATTGCTTCGTACAGGACGCGTCGCCGCCATTGGTTTGATTGTTTAACGTAAGAAAAACATGACCTTTAGTTCTTGCTATGAAAGTGAAGAAGTTAACAGGTTATTAATAATTGTACTGCGGATCTTTATGCAAATTCAGATTTTTATAGATCAATTTACGGAACTGAAATTATGACAGATCTGTTTCTTTTAGTAGCGGTTTTTCTTGGGCCCCAAGTAGAGTAAATTTCATATTAATCGTCATGAAACTTTTTACAGTATTGTTTTGCACACTCAACAGTGATGTATCTGAATATAATTAAAATAGTAGGTACTAACTGGAAATTTCTAACATGATTATATGTTTCTACATACTTAAAGTTTTCAATCTGTTTGCCTTTTTTTAATGTTGTATGTAGTTATAATGTAATAACTATTTATTTCAGTCTCGTGGCTATGAAATGCACTTAATTTATAAGGTCTTGACTACTACATTACTATCTTAACTTAACCATTCATACCTCATATTCATCACCATATCATCAAATATATTTGTCAATGCCACAATTATCTTTTAACATTTTGTGCAAGTTTCTATATTCACGAAAAGTATCTTAAATATTTTCACAATTCTCGAAACTGTTGCATATGTATTTATTGAAAATGTAGTATTATCTATGATAATTCACAATTAGCATAAATTGTTTTGTATTCTTTGTAATTATTAGTAGCTTTTCATGCTTCCTCGGAAATGTACGTTTCGCACACCTGCGGTATATACTATTTATGACCTAAGACAACAATTATAAAGAATGAAGTTCTCGTTTTCTAATCGACGTAAAATACAACCATGAAGGTAGACTATGCTGTGGAGCTACATTTTTTAATGCAAATGTGAAATATCTTCATTAATCGTAGCAGTTCCTGAGATGTATCGACTCTCGTTAAAACCTTGTTCCACGATCGTCGTAAAACAGTATATATGTAGTAAAAAACTGATATATGGAATTATATAGTATGTAGGTACGCTTAATTATACTGGATCGTGACAATTATACCTTTCATTTTAAATTGACTGTCGTAATTTTCACTCACTCCGAGCTGACATTAAAATACGCAAGAACGATACATACATGAATTCAATGTTAATTTTCATTAATTAGAAAACGAAAAAAAAACCAAAGAATTCGAGTCAAACAGTTACGTAATAATATTTTAATGTGAAAACTATTTAGCTAATTAAAAATTTATTGAAATGTTTAGTAAAAGATATAATAAAATAGTCTAACACAAACTAAAACAATATCCATCGTTTTTTAACCAGTTAATACTCATAAAAACGTTGTGTTCAGAATTAATTTTAGTGTATTGTTTTTGTTATTTCAGAAAAAAACGCTTCCAACATGATATCGTTCAACGGTTGTAAAACTGCCTCGCCAATATATGCAATCATCGGTTTAGCGGCAATCATTTGTGTCACAACCATCCAAGCAGAACTTCGACAAGTGAACGTGGTAAGAAACGCGATTATTTTTGTATAACTTGCGCGTCTGGCACAAAAAATTCTGTCGAAACGAGACTGTATGTTTCCATTTACGAACACGATTGAAATTACATTTTCTCGTGACTTCTAATTTATAACTTTGCTTTAATTTTTCATTTTAATCTGTAATTTCTTTAAACATTACTGATATAGAGTCTAAATGATTTCAAACATACGTTGGTAGTGTAAACTGAATAATATTTGTTACATAGTTGTTGTAACAGTAGATGTATACGAAAAAAGGATCTTTTCTGATATTATCAGAAACATTGTTTTTGTTTTAAATGTAAAATATCATTAATAATATGTAACATAAAACGAATTATGAATGATTTTTAAAATTTGTGTGCATACCAATTGTTACTTTATAGGTGTTCAGACACGGTGACAGGACACCGGACATCGATAATGAAGGGTATCCAAATGATCCGTACCTCAATTTTAGCTACGCCCCGATGGGTCGAGGTCAACTGACTAATGTGAGTAACTTTATTTTATTTGCATGGTCTACATATGTCCACGGTGGCCAAACTGGGGCTCGCAAGTCGCATACGGCTCTTCTAGACGGTTATTGCGGCTCCCATATACTTATACCATATCTTTTTATAAACTTGACACATACTATATTCATGTATGTAATATTTCCGTAAGTTTGTTGACTTGCGTTGTGATATAGAGACAGATTGTAGGCGTAACTCACTATTTAATACCATTTCAATAGAGGATGCGGCTCTCTAGCATTTCTGATAGACGATATATGGCTCCTATCCTGACAAAGTTTGGCCACCACTGGTTTATAATATTATTCTACAACTTAAAGTCAGTAGAAAATATTAGTCACTAGATCAATGTACAGTAATGTCTCGATCAATGCGACGAACTGAGGTCTGTTTCAGAGCATTCCTGGCAAAGCGGAAAGGTTTTCAGCCCCTCATAAATTTGCTTGTTGCACGAAGCTAAGTTTCTGCTTAGCTTCTGTTTACTTTATTCCCTGAAGGAGACCCGCCAGTGGCGGGAATAACGCCGTTGCTTATGTCGCATTCATCGAGGAATCACTGTAACAATTTTACATCTTTATGTGTTTATAGCTTACAAAAATCTTCAAAACTTAATAATATAACACTCTTCATGGAATTGCTACGAATAATAATACTTTCATAAAATTCAAATGAATTCTCTCTTATTTTCGACTTATTATGTATATCCGTAAACGAAAAAAACAAAATTTGATTTCATTTAAATTATTTAAAATTTTTCTGTGTTTACTCAAACATTCACAGTTTAACAATAAACGTTATCATTTCCACCATTTGCTATATTATTTAAAATTTTAATACTTTCATAAATGTTAATAATTCTTATAAAAGAATGTCAGACTTTTAATATTGACTTTTATATTTTAAATAACATAACAACACACTTTTACAGAAAAATTAAAAAAAATTGGACCGAGATAAAATTTTATTTCCTTCGTTTATGGATCTAGTAGGTAGGAAATAAAATAGTAGTCGTGTGGATTTTATTAAAGTTTGTATATTATTGACTTTTGACAATTTTTGTCAGCTATAAATACATAAAGATCCGCAATCTGAATAGTTAGTTGGCACCAAGAACTTCTTACTGTTAACTGTGTGATATATAAATTTCTTCTACAATTCATACCATCTATGTCCGTTCATTAATTGCACGTTTACAAATTCTTCAAAGTAGCTATTTTCAATGTAATTCACATGACACACCCCATTTACATAATGAAAATTAAATTTACCGTTTAAAGTAATTGTATTGCTGTCATGAATAATAGAAAACTTTTTTATTTCTCTTAAATAAATGTGTATAACATTTATTTCAATAATTTTTATTTTTTTCTAAATGTTTCTTTTATCATTGCTTTGAGTCCATAATTGTGTAAGGAAGTATTTTCATGTTTCTTAAATGACCGCCGTATGTAATTTTGAAACGTTTCTCTTACAAATAATACAATTAGTTATTAATTTGTCTCAGGTTAGAATTAATTTAATTAAATTATGACCCAAAAAAAAAGAAATCATTCGGTTGAATTTATACACATGCACAGTAATGCGCATGTGTTATCTTGACTAAACTACGTGCCAAATTGCGAATTTTGTTTCAAAATTGAGAAACATTTATCAGAAAATGTTGGTGAAAATAATTATTATAAAGATACGTAAATAGGAATTGCAAACAAATTGTTACACTTTTAGTTACCACACACAGTTCACAGATCGATCATTTAAAAAATTCTGGTAGACAGAAAATTTTGTACATTTCAGCAAGGTAAACGGCGGGAATATCAGTTGGGAAAGATTATGCTTGAGAGATACGGAGGCTTCATAGGGAATACGTATACGCCGAAGTCTGTGTCTGGTCTTAGCTCCGATTATGACAGGACGAAAATGTCTTTGCAACTCGTGCTCGCATCGCTATTCCCACCGAGTAAACAACAAAGATGGAATTATCATTTGAATTGGCAACCGATTCCTGCGAGATATTTGCTCCGAATAGAAGACAACATTTTCCTCGCCGATGAATGTCCTCTGTAAGTGTCAACACAGCGAAAATCCGCAGGCGGTCTCTTTCATACATTTGAAATAGACTATTTGAACATTTGAAATTTTATGCAAATTCACGTTTTCATTGAATATTGCTTAAAAGATAGACCCACAGAAAAATTTCTCTTAATCATTAAGAGATTTGATAAGTTAAATATTAAATACAAAGTTGACTATTTTCGTTAAATCCATGGATTTCGTAGGGTTTTGTGTACTGATATGAATGAATAAAATTTGCAATCCAAATCAATATAAATCAGTAAGATTGCCTTCTGAAAGTATAATGAATATGTATAGAAAACGTAGCATGTTATAGTAAAGGTTATTACAAAAGCAATACTGCAAAGATCATTATTATTAACTGAATTGACATTTTAACTTGATATACTTAATGGACTTTTCATACATAAAACATTTTTACAGTTCGTAACCACTATGTATCAAAAACAAGATGATTATTTATACAAACGTAAATATAGAATAGGACTTCGAATTAGAAATAAAACATGAGTTTCCGTTTTCTTGAATACCGGTTTTGTAGACTCGTCAAACTTGCAAGTGAATATAACTTGATCAATGTGTCCATTTATGTCACATTACTGTTACTTTAATAAATATATATAAAGACTGACTGTGTGATAGTATTAAAAATGTTTTTTTCAATAATCGAAGATAACAAGGTCCATATAAATTAAAGAATAACGTACCAACATCAACATTTACAAAAAGTAGGAATACATAGTAAGTAATGGACAGACATGTTAACTAAATCGTATTTAATGGAACGAATAGTTGATGAATTTTTAAAATCATTTTTTAGTAAAATGAAACTACCTACGAAAAAATATATTCCACATTTTCGATTTGCTTTTACACAATCCTCTTTATCGTTGTACCGCGATTTATGAACTGTATTTTCTAAGTATGAATATTTCTTATGTTCCCAGATACTTGGCAGAATACGACAGAGTACTGCGATCGCCTCAAGGAAAAAGCGGAATTTCAAATTACAAGGACTTTATGCGACAGCTCACAGAATGGACGGGAAAAAATATAAGCACGCCATTGGACATGTATTACATCTATCATACATTAATGGCCGAATATTCATTTGGACTCACATTGCCAGAGTGGGCGTATAAAATCTTCCCTTACGGTGAATTGTGGAATGCAACCGTATTCTCGTACGATATTGCCAGCTCTACCCCTTTGCTGAGGAGACTCTATGCAGGTACGATGTTCTTCTGGATTTCAGCCTTATTAACGCTAGAACCACCAAACCCCATCAAAGTGACTGATTTTAAATTTCTTACTTTACAATTACTAAAATCACAAGTGTGCTTTTGGTAGGACTTTATGTTGACTTTTAATTTATTACTCATTGTACATTATACTACATTATGTTATGTACATTATAGTATATATTGCATATATCAATATATTATACAATTTAATTTATTATACATTCAACGCTGGTAGTTCTAGTGTTAATCTTATTGCTTTTTTGTTTCTATACTAGCTTATTGTCAGTCATTTTTGACCCAGTGTAGAATTTTTTATCCGTACACCAGAAATCAATATTTTCTACACTATTTTGATTTCAATATCGTAAACTTTATTTTCCAGTTACTCATTGAACGCATACGTAAATTCAGTTAAATTGAAAGTCAAGTATGAATTTTGATGTTGAAATTGGCCGAGTGAAGAAAGTGGAGAACAATGAAATATAAAATATCGTGTTTCTATTAAATATTTCTACGAAAATTCTAACTTATATGTATATGTTCATGGACACCTTGATATAAAGAGATTCGTATTAATTGTTCAAATCGTCTATGATTCTCATTAAAATAAACCTTGTTTTGTGTTTCACTTGTAGTCACAAATGATAATATGTTTTATAAACCGAAAACTATTTACTTCTGCGTCTCTATGCGAGTTAATTTCATTTTATTTATTTTTTTAAAGAAGTTTATACATAATATTATTAATGTTACAGGACCGTATCTGCTACGTGTGACAAGAACTATGCTGGATTTTGTAACGGGTACATCAGAAAATGAACGACTGATGTATTTGTACAGTGGCCATGAAACTAACATTGCTGCCGTTCTACACGCTTTACAGGTCTATAAACCCCATGTTCCTGAATATTCTAGTGCTGTGTTTATGGAACTCCACGAAATAGATAGCCAATACTATGTTAAGGTATGAAAGAATTTTAAATCATGTCATTTTATGTTATTCCTTATTGAAGTATTAGGGGTCAAGTATGGAATATTTATGTGTCGTTGGCAATGTTCTGTCAAAATGAAAGTCAAGCCTGATGTGCATGTTTTGTGATATGTATATTCATTATTGTTTGGAAGAATCAATAATGTTCTTAGTTATTAGTTAAATTCAAGTTATAATTTCTTAATTTCTGCGTACTTTATTTTTTAATGACTTATTTGTATATTTAGGTTGCCCATTATTTGGGCATTCCATCAAAAGTGGAAGAAGTCCAGTTACCGAACTGTGACCTTCTGTGCCCTTTGGACAAGTACTTGCAATTAACCGAGGAATTGATGCCGTCTAAAGAAGAACTAGTGTGTGACAAAGGTTTAACCAAAAAATACGCAGATGAAAAGTCACCAGAGGAACTAGATTTGACGAGATACAATTTGATACGGACTGCAAGAGCTTATAAAACAGAATAATTATGAATTAAAAATTTAAGTGTAACCCTTTGAGATGATTTTCATCTCGTTGAACCAAAGACAAGATATCCAGAAAAATAAAGAATGCAATGCAATAATTTAAATTAGTTTGTAATTTAAATAAATTTTTAGGGCATAGACATAAATGTAATATGAAAATGGAATGTTTATTTGTAACATAATTGTTCCTATCAATATTTATATTCTTTCATTCTTTCCGCAGCGCAGAAAGGTGGAATTGCATTTACAGTTACTGTAGTATTTCAATATTTCTTAATTTACAACAATATTTAGAAGACAAAGTTCAACAAAATTAAACAAAATAATAATTACGTGTTATTTACAATTGTGTAGATTGATTGTTGAATTCTGAATATATATTCTGCATTAACTATAGCTGGTTGTTACGGTTATAATTATGTAATATTTTTTTCCTGTAATTTGTAGTTGAGAAAATTATTGGAAAAAGTACAGTGGTGTCATCTACAACAAAACGTAAACTCCTAACTAATTATTATTTCAGTATTATCGCGAGATGGGACGGTCACCGATTATAGGGGTCGTTTTAACTCCAAGAAATGTCGCTGCGTATACGAGATATATAATCGATTTAATACAGATTTATGGTACTATTCGTAAATATCTTTAACTTTTTTAATAAATATATTCCTTTGTATCGTTTTTTACGATAAAAATAAAGACTTACGAAACCGAGGACTAAATTTTTATTTCTCTTCCTTAGTACAGTAGAAGTTCATTTATTGCAGCGTTCGGGGCTATAAACGGCATTTCCAGAAATACTGCAATAAACGAGCTCTAATCACCCGTACACTCTCTCTGCCAATTATTATCCTTTCATTTATTCGACATATAAAGCTGTACATCCCTAGTATTCATAACTGGCAAGTTCCACACTGTTTCAGGACCGGGGTACCCACATCGATTTCATGTTTCTATTTTTATTTGAGACCACTGCGTGTTGTATTCTTCGAATTGAAGAAAGAAATTTAATTTAGTTCAGTTTTGTGCGAAACTTCGGGCGGAGTGAACGTACGTGAGTATTTCTGAGTAGAATATTATATATATTTTGTCTGTTGTTTTATTCATTCTATTTTCGAGTACATTTCACATGGATAAATATTACAATAAGTTTATTGCGAATGAATGGAAAAATTATCAGCGGTAAAATCTTCGAGGAATGTAATTATAAAATACACCATGTATAGGGTACAGTCGAATAACATGTACGTGATTTCTCGTGAAAAAAAAATATGTAATAAAATTTGTACATTTTAAAACTATAATAATTACTTGGTCTAGGCAAATGAAGATCGCGGTCGCGTGCGTGACTTCACGGACTTCATGTGACTCACGCACGATTCTGTTGATTTGCTGGCGTCTTGACACGCAGGATTCTGTTCTTTGTTTCAAACGCTATTGTATGACATAAAACAAAACTGATAAATCAATAAATATTCGTATACATAAAAAAGCGCGTTGCAATGCCGATGCGGCATTATACTCAATTAACCAACTATAATAATTGTAGGCCCAACGTTGGCTATTCGTTGGCAAATTGTAACAAGTTTTCGTTGTATGCCCTATGTTGGGAATTTGTAGGAAAAAACACTAACCATATCCCAACTAACTCCCAACCGTTGGCCAACCATAAATGCTACTTATGTAAATTGCGAGTATTTAGGTTTTAACAGTTGGGAGTTGGGATATGTACATATATACAGGGTGTTCGACTATTAGTGGAAAAAAAATGAAGGGGTGATTCTTTGAGGCAAAATAAGACGAAAATCAAGAATAACGAAATCGCGAAGAATGCTTTATTCGTTGGTTATAAGCATTTAAAAATTCATCCAAATGATGGCAATCCGCGCGCACGGAGTGTCAGTGGATCACGGGCCGTGATTCACGGCTTGTAAGGGGAGTACAGTCAGTTTAAAGACTCAACGACGTGCAGGAAAAGTCGGTAGAACAGCTGTCCACTTACCCCGTAGAAGATGTCGATAATTTGTGCCCGCGATATTTGAGTCGAATCCACGTGTAGTGCATTTATTCTGAATACTCGATAAAATTCGCAAGAAATTTAATATCTTCTTACGAATATTATCGAGTAGATAAGGCTAATGCCCCTTCTAGTTGTCACGTGTAACAATTCCTATGTAACCGTAGTTACATCGATGGAATCATTAGTTTCTTCTACCTCCCGTTTTACAAAGTCTTACATATAACTTAAAGGGAACTGAAATTTAGACGCTTTAATGTTGATTTCCCTCGGCGGATGGCTTCTTTTTTGAGTCTACCTGAAAAGAAAATGAAGATCCCACGGCGGATGATCGATGTCTTCTGTCTTGAACTTATACTACTCTTACAATCGACTTAACTTAACTTACAACTAACCCATTTAGCTGTATACCAAGCAATTATTACAGACAAAACGATTGCAGATACTCTGAAGGAGAATATGTTTCATAGAGTCGATGCTCTCGGAAGGACAGCACCGATTCTCTCTGATGCTAAGTGGAAAACAACGGCAGTTAAAGTAATAACTACTCGGTATGCATTACAATTATTTTACAATGGGTTTGCAGCCATTCGCTCGGCATTATCTCGATTTACAAAACTATCGAGGATAACACCGATTACCAGGTCTCACCACGTGGAGGTTGCTGCAAGTGGAGACCCAAGGAAGATAGATGGAAACACAAGTTCCATCTATCTACCTTTCACAATAATCTTACAACTAACTTAGATATCTAAATACGCTTATACTATAAATATGGAAATCCCTCGGCGGATGGCTTCTTTCTTGAGTTTATTGAATTAAAATAAATCAAAATAAAGCACAATTAATTAGAATAAATCAAAATAAAGCATAGTTAATTAAAACAAATCATAATAAAACTCAAGTAATTATAATAGATCAAAATATAACATAGTTAATTAAAATAAATTAAAATGAAACAATTAAAATGAATTAAAATAAAACTCAATTAATTAAAACAAATCAGAATAAAACACGTATAATCAAAACAAATCAAAATAAAACACATATAATTAAAATAAATCAAATTAAAACACAAGTACCTAATTATAATAAATTAAAATGAAACACACGTATCTAATTAAAATAAATTAAAATATAACCCAATTAATTAAAATAAATCACAATAAAAAAAAATAAAAAAACGAACCCCTGAATCGAGTTCGGATAATAGAGAGGACCCCTTGAACTCCCCTTGACCAGTGTCCACCAGTGGTCAGCAATCGTGGGAAGACCTCGTCGAGTTCGGATAATAGAGAGGACCCCTAGAACCCTCCTTGATCAGTGTCCACCAGTGGTCAGCAATCGAAAGACCTCGACGAGGTCCGCGGACGCGAGTGAACTGAGGATTTTTCATTGCACGCTCGTATTTATGGGCTCGCAGCGACCGTGAACTTGCGCGCACTGGTGCGCGGTCAGGTGCGCGAACATTGAGTGCACTGGAAACTCGAGCTCGCCAAAAATTGTTTCTCGATTAATTTATTATTTCTAATAAGGTAATTGTTATAACAATTACCTCTCTGAGAAATATTGTTAAACATTCTGTCAGCTGTCTTGTAATGCAAATCGTTATTGTTTATAACAAATATAAATCGAAATATACAGAAACTTTGAAGATATGAACCGTGTAATGAACTTTTACGTGTAATAAATTTTACTTTATTGCAAACTATTAAACAATGACTATGTCGTAATGTTTATGACGATTGTTAACTAAATATTATTTATTGAAAATGTGCCTTGATAGCGTTTTAAACAAGGAATTCATAAAAATTTGTTGAACAGTAGGAATTCTTTGATTTATTTCAGAATAAGTTTAATATTATAATGTTTATAACAATCACATCTTTGGTGGAAGATGTTCAACATTGTATCATCCCTTTTACAATGCGAATTGTTAATAATTATAACAGATAGAAATCGAGATATACAGAAACGTGCAAGATATGGATCGTTTTATGAACTTTCACGTGGAATAAATTTTATTTTATTGTAAATTATTAAATAATAGCCGTGTCGTAATGTTGGTGGTAATTGTTAACTAAAAATTGTTTAATTTAATTGTGTCTTGGTAGAGTTTTATGCGAGAAATTTGTAACAATTTATGGCATGGTAGAAATTCTTCGATCAACGTTTGATCGTTATTGTCCTTGATAATAACTGTTATAGCTTTGAGCATAGACTATTTGGCTTACTCGAAATTATTTCACAATAAATTAAATATATCCGACAATATAATATTTATGCCAATCACATTTTCGGTGAGGATTGTTAAACATTCTATCACTTGTTTAGTAATGCAAACTGTAATTGGTTATAACAAATATATAAAAATAGAGGTATTCAGAAATTTGTAAGAAATGAATCGTTTTATGAACTTCTGTATGGAATAAATTTTACTTCATTGAAAAGTATTAGACAATGAGTATGTGTTAATGTTCATGGTGGTTGTAAACTAAATATTATTTAATTTAAATATACCTTAGTATAGTTTAATAATTTGCATTCTATCACAAATTATTCAATGACAACCACGTCTTACTATTTTCGCGAAATATGACATATTAATTATTTTATTTAAATGATTTGAACTATGTTTTATGCGTAAATCCACATCTTACATCTTTGACAACATATCCCCAAAATGTGATTGTTGTAAATATTATATTGCCGAAAATATTCACTTTGTTGTCGATTGAAGAATTCCTAATGTGCTACAAATTTTTACGTATTTCTCGCATAAAACTCTATTGAAACACATTTAAATTACATAATATTTAGTTAACAATGGTCATAAACATTAAGACATGGTCGTTGTTTAATAATATACAATAAAATACAATTTACTGCAGGTTAAAGTGCATAAAACGATCCATATCTCACAAGTTTCAGTATATTTCGATTTCTGCTTCTTATAAGTAATAACTATTTGCATTACAAAATAGCTGATAGAACGTTTAACAAATCCCACCGAAAATGTGATTGCTATCAATATTCTATTGTCTAAAATAT